GGTGGTCAAGGCCCTTCTGGGGATGATAGGGAATGGGCTGTGTGGTGCAGCAACTGTGCCAGACATGCATATTTTGCAAAGCACCAGGCCTACAGATGCCTCATGGAACAAATCCCACCTGGGTAATGACCGCCCAGTACCTGCAGACCTTGGTGAGCAGCATGCATGGGGCTGGCCGCACCTGTCTCAGACGCCCAAATTCCAATGAACTTCTCAGCACCATCTCCACTCATCCTCTGGCTTCCTGTAAGCCGTGCTGGACTGAGCCTCCAGGTCATTTCCGGGCACAAGCCAGTGCTCTTCCTGTTCCGCTGAGTCCTTTCCTCAAATAGGATTCTTCTGTGCTAACACAGGTTGTTAGCTTTGCAAGTCTGACAAGGCAGGCATGGCTGCTGGTCCACCCCAGGCGCACCACTGAGCTACAGGGAAGGGCCAGACAGAGGAAGTGGTGGTGTGGAAATCCACCAAGCCAAGGGGTTCAGCTGTGTGACCTCTTCCAAGAACCTTACCCTTCCGGGGTCTGAACAGACTCAGAGTCTCCAAGCCTATTAACAATGGGGAGGGGACGCTGAGTGTGCCTAGCGCCGCCTGAGTAGACCAAAGAATGCATGCTCTTCTGTGCTAGGCCCTTCTATTTTCTTTATAACCAAGCAGCTTTTTCATCACAGCATTTTCCCCTTTACAGAAAACCTCCTTAACAAGAGGCTCTTAATCTCTTGTGTGTCCTGGAGGGGCACCATTCTGAGATGGTCAGGGCCCCTGGAGAGGAGGCAACATGTGCTGTAGGGGGCTGGGCACAAGGCCTGGCGTGGAGCCTGGCTACTGAAGGGAAGATTGGACAAAGGCCCTGGAGCTTCGCTTTCTCTGTCCTATTTCAATCCAAACCACTCAGGACTGACCACTCACGCATGGCTGCCTCTGGGCACAAGCCTTCTCTTTCTCAAACACTTAATACACTGTGACCCAGCCACCAACCCTGCCTTACCAATTGCTGAAAAATGAAAGCTGGCTTCAAAAATTCTGACATCCAAGAAGGCAGGAAAATGAAAATGTGTGTGGCATAATCATGAACTCTGATGCCCAAGGCTGTTGGGAGCAGGAGAGTCCTAAAATGGGAATGATGCCCTTTGGAAATAACTCCCCTACCTCTGCCACTCCCCAACACCCAAGCAGAAGGGCCAGAGCCTGCCTGCCGACCAAAACCCACATCCGGGGAAAACCCACAAGCAGTCAGCCCACCACTTGTGCGGTCCACAGGGCATCAGGAAAGGTTGAGAGGGTCGGTAAGACAGTGGGCTGCAGCAGGCATGACTGGGAGTGCAGCTCCACTGCAGACACAGCCAGGTAAAATGAATGGGAGTTGGCCCCAGGGCACAGCTGTCAGAGGATCACAGAGTGACTAGGCAGGAGGCTGCCAAGATGATGTAGACATGGCAGAAAGGATGTGACCCTGGGCACCTACTCTTGGATTACAGTGGTTTTTGGGTCATGGATATAAATACAGGAAGTACCTGTTTTGAGGACAGAGAGAAGCCAAAAGGTGGGAATGGCCTGGTCAAACCCTAGGAAGAGCTGTCTCTGAGGTAAGAGATGGCCAAAGCCCTATTCTCAGTGAACTAGATCAATCTTGCACTACCTAGGCTGATTCTTTTTCTGGAATGAACAGTTTTAGGTATAGAGAGACATAAAGTCCAGTTCAGCACCTACTCCGTCTCCCAGTTCAAAGACTAAACTGTACACCCTTGTTTCAGAATTCTAGACACTCTAGCGTGACTTGGTGCCTCTTTAATCCAGAGAACCACTGACATGCTGTGGATGGCTAAGTCAATGGTACGAACTCCGGACACCAACCAGAGACAACTCACAGACCGGTATGTCCTCAGAGGGAGTCTGACTTGGCAACTTTCCCAATGGTCTCCCTGGAGCATCCTCGGGGGAACAGGTTAGTGTGGGAGTAGCAGCTCCGAAGCCACCGGGTCCCATTGTCTTTCCATGAGTTTGACAACCTGTGCACGTTTGACTTCCTTATCTCAGCTCCAAGGGGAACAGACTTGTCCAGGACCATAAAACTAGCTGGTTGCTAGCTGCAGTTTGGCGTTCCCTTGGTTACAAATCACTAGACAGCAAGTGAGGTGTGGAGGAAACATCAGCTATGATTGTGCAAAGGCCAGTGTGCCAGCGGGCACTGGGCCAACCCAGGCGGTGGCTGCCTAGGCCTTTGGCTTCTCTCCATGTTCCCCACTTCCTGTGGCCCAGGGCCTGGCGGGCCTGGCGGGCCTGGCAGAGTAATGCAGATCTGGAATCCAAGCAGCCATTCCAGCTGCTGTTACAGGCTGGCTCCCTCCCTGTCCCAGAGCAATTTCACTTCAAAGATCCTGGCTGGTAATTCATAGCCAAGCCTTGAAGTAACAAGGGCTTTTTTTTTTTCCCCTTCTTTCTTTTGAGCATGTTGAGGGGTGGGGAACAGATGATGTTCTCTATTCAAGATCAATAAAGCAATTATATTGGAAGCTCCTGGCTGACTCCAAGAGGCAGGCAGACAACTCATTAAGGAGAGCTGAGGACTCACCATAGGAGAAGGACCAATAGGCCATTCGGGCTTGTGGGATGGAGCCCGCCGGGCAGGAGCACTGCTTATGCAGTAGCGTTGGTCTTTTTGCCTCTGCTGGGCGGGACATAGCAAAGGCCAGCTTCAGTAATGAGTTCATGCAGGTCTTAGCATTGCCTTACAAAGAGGTTATACAGCTGACAAGTCCTACAACCTCCTTTTTCCTAAAATCTACTGATATTCAGAAATAATACTTTGACCTCACCATGTGAAATTGTGCGGTATGGTTAGCAGCATGCCACATTAATTTGGAAGAACTGGTTCTGAGGGTTTATATGTTGGGGGAAGGGGAACCACAAGAAATACCTGGGGTTTCTTTGTCCTCTACTGTTGAGCAATATTCTTCAATATGCTTCAAAATGTAAGTAGTAACGAAAAAGACACCTGATTCTCACACTAGGAAGTATCCTCTAAGTACTGGCCATGATCTTCAGCACTGTTTTGGGCCACTGAGTGCCCACAGTCCTACTCCAGGACCAGGCATTTAGGGCATTTGTTCCTGATGTTCTTGGCAATGGCAATCAAAACAACTGAAGCTGCCCCTCTGGGGCAGGAACTGTCCATCATAAAGACGTAAATCTTCAAACACACATTCTAACCGTGTTTGAATACCTTTTAATGTGGCCCTGAAAGCAGACAGGGCCTCAGTAGGCTTGCTGGTCTAGCCACTGGCTTTGTATCCTTATGGGCCAAGGGAAGATTCAGCAGTAGGGTGACTGAACCGTTATGCGGCCAGCACTGGGCTGGGCTTCCAGGAAAGGGTCCATTGCGGAGTTCTCAGGAAAAGGGCTTTGCTATGTGGCTATAGAACCTTTATCTGCGAACACTGTGGGAAGAGGGTCCACACTTCCTCAGAAAGCCTAACTGCGAAGAATAACGCAAAACATTTACCCTTTAATATTTATCACTGCTCAGTCCTCCGTGCGTTAGGGTTAAAAAGGAAGCAAATACTGCTCTTTAGAAACAAACAAATAGATAAAGCCCAGTTAGGTAACTTTTCTTGTTTTACAAGGTAAGAGGTAAATTTACTGAGAACATAGGTGACCCAACTTTGAAGATCTTACAGCACCTCTTACACCAGGTGAGTGCGAGCCGAAGGGCAAGGGGATGCCTCAGCCTTCAGTGACAGCCAGCCTGGAAAAGTCATCCAGGCTCAGGACGTGTGGGACAGAGAGGTGGCCTCCTGTGTCTCAGGACTGGCCGCTTCCCCAGCACACACAACTTGCTACAGAGCTGCTGCTCAGGGAAATATCACAGATGTTAATAAACTGGAAGTTAATGAGTAAAGGGCCCCGACAATGTTGACAACCAGATCCCTGGGCAATAGCTAAGCCCACACAAATCTCCAAGGAGGGGGTGCTGCTGCTAGCCTGTGCTCTACTGGGGTGCGGGCTGTTGGCACAAGGATTAGGCTCTGTGAAATGAAAGCCCTGCTGCCCAGCCGTCTGCTCTCTGTCCTCAGCTTCCTGTGCACTAAGCATGCTGCGTACGCAGGTAAGCCACTCCACGAGTCAGTGACAGGAAATACAGGCTTTTCTGTTCCGTTTACTTCAGCGCTTTGTTTAGACAGGGATGGATCACAGCTTGGGTATCGGAAACAAGCTATTTAACCCAATCACTACTTTCTAATATTAACCAGGACCTGATCAACAAGTCTATGACCACACAGACCAAGCAGCCAAACATAAAAAAACACTCTGGATTATGACTCCACAGAAATAAAGGGACATTTACGTATTTTTAATTTGGCAGAAAGGTAAAAGCAATTCTAAACCAAGTTTGTAAATATACAGAAACATATTTCCCCACCAGGGGGATGAAGACATCCAGAGGACAACCTACATTTTAAATAGAGGCAGCAATTTGTCCAAGCATGGATGCTGTACACATCCTTGAGGGATTAAAGAATGGCCAGAAATATACAGGGGGAAACCTCCAGCTTCATAATACCTTCAACTCCCGGGAGGCTGGTATACTAAAAGGTTCACATGCCCAGCATCAGAGCCCAACAAAGTCTATGCCTTAATGTATTCACAGCCCAGAGGACAATATTGGACTTCACTGTTTGTGAATACAGACATAACAATGGGGTTTAGGTTATCCTCAGACCTGTTTCCCTGTACAAAGTGGTAGTGGTGGCAAAGCTGAAGCTACTCAGCACACATTTCTTTGTAACTTGCCCCAGGATACGGTTGTAAGAGTACAGCAGTGGTGTGTAGGGAGATACCGAGACTTCTGGAGCATTAGCTGCTCACTCTGGGCCCATTCCACCTGTATAACCAGGGCAGTAAATAAAGCCAGGACTTAGACTAGGTATCAGTAGCAAATTGGAAAAAATGCATTACATTTCTGGGGTTTAGTTAAGTCAATCCCCAGGATGTTTATCCCTCCAGTGCTAGGAATAGAACCCAGGGCATTCTAATTAGCTAGACCCCCTAATTCCCCAAACAAGCTTCTTTCTGAAGAAAAGGAAGCTGCTTTATCAAGCACTCTGAATGTTTAATCAAGTCCTTAACTTGGAAAAAAGTTCCTTTGTGTTATGACTTTTATTTCTTTGGAGCCAAGTACAAGACTGCTATCTGAAAATGTGGATTAGCTACCTGTGAGTTCATGTCCTTCCCTGTGTTGACTGCAAGGCCAGAAAACCATGGTTTGATAGCTGCTCCTCTGAGCATTTGTTGATTTTGAGATAGGCTCTCTTGGTGTAGCACAGGATGGCCTCAAGCTCACAACCCTCCTGTCTCAACACAGACTATGGGCATGCCTGGCCACTGGGAGTTTTGAGGAGCCTGTGAGCAGCTCACCATCCCACACAGGCTTATTAAACACCCCAGCTCCTCAGGGAGCAGACTGAGTACACTGCAAATACAGAGGGGAAACAAATGTTTGTTTCAACCAACAGCCATAATTATTCTGATAGAAAGCTATTCAAGTGGGATGCTTCTAAGGTTAGTGGTACTTAAATGGAAATCTGCCTCCTCCGTCCATTATGAGTTCAGATCGGGGGTGGGGTAGTGGGAGCCTGGCACAAAGTTGAGGCCATGAAAAATCTGAGATGCCTACATCAACATCCAGGCCACAAATGTATACATACACTCAAAAGAGAAAAAACTGTAAAAGAAATCAATCCCAGCCTTGTTTCATTTAAAAATCCTTCAATATTCTTAATATTGTTCTGATTATTTGTTGCTAACAACTACAATCCTGAGTTGGATAAAAGAACATATCCCACCCATATACCCCTCCCCTCACCAACAAAGCTATCAAAAAGATCCTTGCAGGGCCTTTCAGAAGCAGCTTTCAAAGAGAGAAGCATGGTCGAAGAAAACATTATCCAAATGCATGTCAGTACAACATTCTCTTCCAATAAGGTGGTCAGATTTTTCAAACGTGCAAAAACCACTTCCCGGTAGCAAAACTGGAGGAAGCTGCTATCATCAGTAGCAAACACTCTCCATCTTTTCTGAAATGCACCAAGGTGAAATGCCTTTGAGGGCAGAAGTGAGCCATAACCCCCTGCTCACTGCAGGAGGCACGGGGGTGCCCCTCCTTTGCCCAACACCAACACACAGAGCACTGGGCACCACACACATGGTGGGGACGCTGCAGCCGGCTCGGAGGAGTCGAGATGGGAAGACACGTTTCCACAACGACGGCAAGTTCTTCACTTTCATGCTTTATTGAAAGTAGAGTATGAGTCAAAGACAGGTACGGGTAAGCAGGTTATGTCTCTAAAGAATCACTTTTAGTTCAGAGTAGAATGCTTGCTGTCCCATCTACTGTGATACAAATCCTTTATGGACCAGTGCATCTGGTATGAAACTCAAGCAAGGAAATATAACAGAGCTTTATTCCCTTCCATGACTATAAATTTCATATGTAAACATGATTCAATGTTGCTGGCTACTAGTTCAATTTTTACTTGCCCCCTTTGCTCCCACTACCCCCCTTAAATATAAAATTTGAAACATTTCCTTCAAGTTTGATGTCCATCAGTGCAATCTGCTTTATTTGACATAAGGCATTTGGGGCAGTCACGTTTGAACGGATTGTTGCCTTTTGGAAGAGTCATGTCATGGTTTAATTCTTAAATCCACCTTTTCTTTAATGCCCTAACATGTCAAACTCCTCTTCCCCTCTGGTGATTTCTTAGCAGTCAGCAAGTGTTCAAAGATTAATGTCCAAGTAGACCAGTACCTGAGAAGAGAAACACACGTGGAGGTACAGTTGTGAACTAAACAGTAAGAGTTCAGGTATTCCATTTGCCAAGACGCATCACCAACAGAGAATATCCAATTTAATAATGAACACAGCAACAGCAGACCCTTTGGAACTGAAGGATAAGAAAAACCTTGGCTGGCTCCAGGCTAAATCACATTTCTGCTGAAAGCCATGTGCTTCCTATGTATGTCTCCACAGAAGTTAACCACATTTTATTGATGATGTTCATTTGGTGGCCATTTTTCAGAGAGATATTGTTTTGCTTTGTTTTGACCATTATCAGGAGTTCCTTTGTCATGGAAACACATAGGTAATACAGTTGCATTGAGAAAACTGTTGAGGCCAGTAGCTTTGTCACTTATTTGCTTCCGCAAAGAATCCCTGGTATTTGACTCAGATTCATTCCTTGGTAAAATCATACCCTGTCATGGGCCTCTGGAGTGGCCCACAAAAGAATCAATGTGGCAAAGTTATATCTGTAATTGTCAAACATCCCTACTTGATGGGTTAATAAGCATTACTGCTGTGCACAACACTAGCGGCCAAGACGCAGAACAAGGCACCGCCCTGTCTCCAGCCGCAGTAATAATCCAGCAAATCCCTGAACTCTAAGTAGACTGAGTAAACCTTTTCACTGGACCTGACATAATTCAGTAAATTCTTCTACCAGTAAATCTTATCAGCTGCACACAAAATGTGGTTTTTTGGTTGTTCGGCGACAAGGCCTCATCGTGTAGGCCAGGTTGGCCTCGAACTTATGGCAATCCTCAGACTCCCAGTGCTGGCATTACAGGCCTGAGCCACCACACCCAGCAACACAACCAGTTTTGCTCTAAAACAGAGACTGATAGGAGGAACCAGAAAAAGGCTAAATATAAATTTTGAAACGCCAGTAGTGAAGTTTCCAACCTCCTCCCAAGAAATGAAAAAGCAGAAGTTAAATGGACATTTGGCAGAAGAGAGTTCTAACACATGGGCTGCATCTGAGGCCTGAGTGCCGCAAACGATAATGAACAAGCTTGAATAAATTATGCCTTTAGCTGAAATTAATTCCTGCCATGAGACTGCGATTGGATTAAATTTTAAAATCAAATTATAGCCTTCACTTTAATAGAGAATTACAGTATGATTCTGACATTCATGAACAAAACATGACAAATGGAACTTACCTTTAAATCCTTCCTCTGGCATACAGACTAGAAAAAGAAAAAAAGAATTCCAGATTGAAGAGCCTTGTCACATTAGACACAATAGATCACGTCAATGCCTTAAGATGGGAAGTTTAAAATAACTCTTAGTCACCTGAAATGGTTACTTTTGAACTTCATCTGATGATCTTTCTGGGCTTATTTTTAATCAAAGCAACACATATGTATCATTTAAAAAGTCAACTATTGATGGAACAAGGTGTGAACAGAGCCACATTTTGCATGACTCTGGGAGTGGCCCTCAGAAAATGACATGACTGACTCAAGAGCTGTGTCTCCCCCTCTTCCTCCCTTTTTAAGAAGCTGCTACTGACTGTTACAGCACTTTTTCTGGTATGTAGCCTCTTTGTTTCTATGTAATACGCTTACATTGCTACTATTCCTCAATGAGAGACCAAGAGTTAGCTCCTCCACCTCCCAGGCCCTGCCTGTCCCAGCTCCACCTCCTGACAGTGGTGTTGGCTATGGCTAAGCCTCTGCCAGTGTGACTTTGCCTGCACTTACACCGCTCACATGGGAAGTACTGCAGTTGAAACCCTTGGTGTGCGCTGGTTAAACTGCCTAGTCTGAGTCTCACAATTCTTGCTTGCTCATGAATTTCATTTTCTTTCTACCTATATCAAGGACCCACAGGCCTCTCTAAGGCACCCAGTGTCACTTCCACCTCCCCCCACGAACACTGCACTGTTGTCCCATATGGCAGGCTGGACGGCGCTGCCTGCTGCAGAACATCTGTTCTAGAATCTCTTCACCCTCTTCTAGGACACATCCTGTCCTGTTACCAATTTCACTGGCAACTTTCTGCTTGCTTCGCTCTTGTTTAAGAGCAAAGTCCCAAGCGGAATGTTGGCAGACAGACTTTTCAGCAGGTGTGGAGCACAGTTGTGCAGTTCAGACTGAAATGTGTTCCACAAGGGCCTCACGGGCACTGCCTCCTTTACTTGTCTTCCAGACTCCTCCTCCTAGGAGTTTGGTTTTTCCCTCCAGATCTCTTATTTCACTCTCTCCAGATGCTGGAGATTAGTCTCACACAAGGCGAGGCCTCAACCACTGAGTTAACCATTATTTTTTGAGACAAGGCATTGTTAAATTGCTCTGGCTGGCCTTGAACTTGTGATGGTCTGCCTTGACCTTCAAATAGCTGAAATTATAAGTACTTGGCACTATATCAGGCAGGATCTTATCTCTGGTTTTTCACTGGCTATATCAGACCTTTGAATTCTCTCTTTTTTTTTTTTTTAACTTGGTTTTTAGAGTATTGAGGATGGAGCCCAGGACTGAGTATGCTACCCAGCTGTGCTACCACTGAGCCACATCCCAGCTCTGATGAATTCTTTACTGTTCTCCAACTATCCCTTCTATGTATAGGACCCATTGTTTATTTTCCCGGTATTACGTACAGGACATTTTTAAGCTATCTTATTGCCTATGCTACTTTCCTTTCTCTTTGACACTCATATCTTGATTCCATGCCCTCAATTCTGTCTGGGGTCCTGGCTGCCCACTTCTACTTATGTAGATCTGAGGTACTAAAAGGGTATCTGATAGCTCTGCTCAGCAGGTAGGCGTCACTAATGGGCAGACTAGTCACCTTTTTAATATATATCTGTAGATGATTTTCTTGAAAGGAATTCCCTTCCCTTCTGTGGAGGAGGCAAGACATGGGCTGGGTGTGGTGGCTCACCCCTGTAATCCCAGCACTAGGGAGGCTGAGATAGGAGGATCACTGTGAGATCAAGGCCAGCCTGGGCTACATAGTGAGTTCAAGGCCAGTCTGAACTGCATAGCGAGACCCTGTCCCAAAAAGACCAAAAAAAAAAACCAAAAACAAAAAAAACAAAAAAAAAAACATGGGCTGTAGGCACCAGTAGAGGCTGGGGACCATCTCTTGTATGCAATGGAACAGGCTTCGTGTCACCTTTCTAGCTTACCTTCAACAAAGAGTTAACACACTCACCCCCTAGTTGGCCATTTGAGGGGCAAGTGGGGAAGAATGGCGACATGCATCATGGGGAGGGAGGGAGTTATCTACCTGCTTCTCAGATTTCCAACCCCATTTCTTGTTCTTGGGCTTCCACCTCATTCCCGCCCCCAGAGGCATCCTAGGTGCCTATCTGGACAGTGCGATCCGAATTTGCTTTGTGTCTTGGGGACTTCTTCACTCTGCTGGTTTGCATTCACTTTGATTTCCTCAGATTAACTAATCCCTCTTTCCTTTTCCACTTCCCAATTTTTCCCCTTTCCAAAAAAAAAAAAAAAAAAATTAAGACAAGTAATGTAAGCTTCCACTTGAACAGCAGGCAGAAGCTATGTGTCCAGGTTAAGTCTCAGTATCTATGATCCCACCTCCTTTGAACAGACTCCTACAGTGAGGACATCTTTACCTTGCATGACGTCATCCATTGCAGCATAATCTGCAATTGGTTCATCAGCCTAGAAAACAAACAAAGGGTTCAGACAAACAAGGGAAGGGGAGCTGGGAAAGGGTGGGCCAGCTACTCATCACACTGAACTGTGGTCCATGATTTTGCTATCAAATACTCATGAGCCCTGTCCAGCAGAGAACTCCAGCCAAGCCACAGGCAGTGATGCCCAGACTTATCAGTGGATATCCACTCAGCTATGGGTCAGACTCCTCATCTCAAAGAAAATGTGGAGAAGGAGTAGATGCACTGGTTCTGCCTCCTAAACACACCGTGAGGTGTGGAAATGCCTACATGGCCTGAGGTCATTAAAACTGCTTTAATCATCAGAGTTAAGATGCTAGTGGCCACACCGAGAGGTAGAAAAAATAATATACTACTCTTCTCAAAATACTAATTAGGTTACAATTATACATTTTGACCCTCTTCATCATCAAGAACAGAACTCCCATGTCTGTTTTAGAGTTGAGTCTGAGCTTACACTGAGATGTTGTTCCCTTTCATAATATGGGCTGTTCCTAGGAGTTTAGGCAGGAGCATTAGAATTCAGCGACTCCACAGGCTGTCAATATCACTGTACAGATCTTACAGTCCCAGGGGGAAAAAAGGTAAGCGAAAAAAGAGGAGAGGCAGGAGAGAGGTGTGCAGGCATTGCAAGGGAGAGGTACAGGTTTGCATCTGTACCACGGCCTATCTTTATTACATCAGAATTGGGATGCTACAGTTTGAGAAATAGATTTTACAGTTCAGAAAATGAAAACTTAGACTACTGTGAATGCAGCACTGTTCTGCCACAGTGAGGGCCCTCCTGGCCACCAAAAAAACAAAGGGCAAAGGGAAGCAACAAGATGATAGAAAAAGGAAGATCTGGCTAAGGAGGTCTCAGCAGCCTGTACTTTCTAAAATATCTTCTACTAAATCTAAAGCCAGTTACCGTATCATGGACAAGAATCCCATTAAGAAGACAGGTGTGGTGGTGCACACCTGTAATCCCAGCACTCAGGAGGCTGAGGCAGGAGGATCATTGTGAGTTGAGGTCAGCTTGGGCTACAAAGTGAACTCAAGGCCAGCCTGAACTGCATGGTGAAACCCTGTCTCAAAACAAAACAAAACAAAACAAAACAAAACAAAACAAAACAAAACAAAAACAAACAAACACAAAAACCTCAAAGAATCCCGCGAAGCTGCTGGAATTCTGGTTTAGTGATAGATGTGTGACTTATGCATGTCTCCCAGCTTGACTGACTGCTACAGGCTGAGCAACCGTACACCCAAATCCAAAATTCTGAAATTTTCTGAGCTTTACACTAAGCCGTCACATGTGAGAAGTTCCACATGCGATGTGACCTGATGTGATGGTTGCAATCAAAACACAGATGCACTAAAAACGTCACACTAACTCACCTCCAAGCTGTGTGTGCAAGGTATATATGAAACACAAGGCCTCTGTGTTAAGACTTGTCCTGTCTCCAGAACATCATTATGCATATGCAAATATTTCAAAATCTGGAAAACTTTGAACTCCAAAACATTTCTAGTCCCAAGCATTTCAGGTAAGGGATCTGCAACTTGCACTCTTGAGCCTAAACGAAATGAGAGGCTGCTCTCACAGAGCTAAGTCATTCCGCTAGTCCAGCAGTTACGGGAAAGGTTAGGGAGAGGCTGAATATAACCTCCCCCTTTATTTTAATTTCTGTGTTGGGGACTGAAGCAGAGCCGCTCACATGCTAGGTAGGCATTCTATCACTGGGCTACATCTCCACTGCTTTTTACTTTGAGATGAGTTCTCGCCAAGACACCAAGTTGCCCAGGGTAGGTTAGAACTTGAAATCCTCTAAAGTATTTGGCCCTGTATGCAAGGGCCACAGTGCCTGCTAGAACTATTGCTTTTAATAAAAATTATGAGAATCCCTACTGTCTTCACTGAAAATTTCATGGTTTTTGTTAACAGTGATAGATCTAGACATTAAAGAATATATTCAGGGGGCTGGGGATTTAGCTCAGCGGCACAGCGCCTGCCCGGCAAGCGCAAGGTCGTGAGTTCGATTCCTGGTACCAGAAAAAAACCAAAAAAAAAAAAAAAAAAAAAAAAAAAAAAATATATATATATATATATTCAGTTACTCATCCTGACTGATCACATACTCATCTTAGGAGTGAGGGGCAGCACTTCAAAGATGTGCTAGACATCTCTGTCACTTTTTTTAAGGACAGACTCCCAGCCAGGCAAAACATAGTGTCGGGAGAGTTAGGGGCAGGCATACAAAGCTTGTGACCAGAGACCAGGTTACCCACTTGGCCCAGAGAAACCCCCACAGAGACTGCTTCTGGGGCCAACAGTCAAACTATAGTCTCCAGAGAGGTACAATCCAACCACCCTCAACCCTCGTCTGAAGGAAATGCAGGATGAAACATCTCTATCTGGAATAGACGGGCCTTGTCACAGAGATTCAACAAGAAATCTGGTGTGGGTCTTCCACTGCTGAAGGGCTTCCACCATGGCCTGCCCCATCAGAATAGGAACAACATCACTATAATCCACCTGTCCCCTCAGTGTAAGGACAGTGAGCTGGGTGATCCACGAAGGACTGAGAGGAAGCTTCATTTCCTTAGGGTGTGGATAGTGGCTGACACTGTATCACTATACCCTACAATGAAGACCAGGAAAAACACCCAAGATAGCTTGACTTCTATGTCTCCTGGGGCTCAGCCCGAGTTGGGCAATCCTGGGGCAGCAAAGCTCCCAGGTGATTGATCCCCTGGATGGAGGCCTCAGAATCCTTTAACCACCATTTCACATCATTAAAACCTAGAGTTCTTGAACTAGGCAGCTGTTACTTACCTTTAATAAAATCACAGATTCAGGTATGACGCCAAGGGTACCAAGAGTGGCACAATCATCACTTAAAATCTTTCCATCAATTGATAAATTCTGGTCAAAAGGAGCAACTGAAAACGCATGCATGATCTGTACCAATTTAAAACAAAAAAACACAAAAAGTCTTTATAAAACAAATTACTGAGACCTATACCCTACCTAAATAAAGCTTGAAGTCTAAAAATCACAGACAAAAGGGTTCAGAGTACAAAAGATAGGACTTTGCAGTCAGCCCACTTGTTACATTCCTACTGAGCCTATAATCCCCGACAGAGCCAGAACACCCTTAGGAAGTCCACAGCAGAAGGGAAACAATAGTACACAGAGATCCTTTTGTTCTGAACCTTACCACCTCCCCAGGCCTGAGGGTAAGGAACCAAAGGAGGGAGGCAAAGGCAGAGCTGGGCTTTTCAGTTCGCCACTGCTTAGCCAGTAAGGCTTGGGCACGGGTTGACATCATCACCCTAAAATTCCCCAGGCTCCACATTCTTCCACAGACCAACAAGTCCAAGCTCACTCTTAGAACCATCCTTAAATTACTCAGCGACTTCTCCAGACTTTTCTCCTTTCTTTGTTTAGCCACTTAGCAAACAATTTGGATGGTTTAATTCAGTCCTTGTGACTACCATACATTCTTGGACTGAGTCTTTTGTCTCTAGGAACCAAAATATTAATTTCAGTGTAGTGTTGCACGTGAATCTTGGTAAAGTGTTAAAAATTAAACATATTCCCCCAAACCACTATGCACAATATTTAAATGCCCTTTTGAATTCAGAAAAAATTGTTATGTGTAGATTTTCATTTCTGGATAGTAATTACCTCTGGAGGGCAATAAAGAGTTGGACTCAGAAAGGGAAGCACAAGTATCTTTGATGATAGTGTTCTAATTCCAAACTGCCAGGAAAAACTCAGGAATACTCATTTCTGTTTTGCTTTATAATTCAGTGACATGTCTGTCAAATGTGCTCTATCACATGTATCTTAATTACACCAACATCCATGGTGCATGGGAAAACCATTTCACCTTTTCCTATGTTCTACTCCTTGTATGTAGAAAGCTGAAATGAGTCCAGCAAATCAGCCCTGAATTAGCTGTGTGTAACAGAGCCTAAGAGCTTCACAGTCTGGACAGGTGGTGACCAGGAATGTGATTTTACTAATGGCACAAAGATAAGAACAAGGTAACAATACAATGCTATCTGGGCTTCTCAAAGACATTATTAGCCTCTGAGAACCAGTAAGAACTGACTGCACAGAGATCTGTGACCCACGGTGCCAACAGTACTGGTATCACCAATGAATTTCATGAAGCAATATGCCTACTTCTCATGGGGAAAAGGTACTGACAGAACAGCTCTACCAAAACCAGCCCGCGATAAAAAGAACAACAAGCAGAAGCATCCAGCCCCAAGCTAGCAAGTAAGAGCTGTGAAGACACAAGCAGAGCTGCAGGAGACGTGTGATGCTAACCTATTGAGGGGAATATCACAGCTTGGGAAGCAATGCTTCCTTGATCCCCTAAATGCTCAGTGTCTTTACAATGCAAAGAGACTGGATAAACACCAAATGCAGTACCTCTAGACCTGAGCACCACAGGTGGGAGTAGGGGGCTGACGCTCACACTTTGCACTCTCAGTACTAATGAAGCATTTATTAAGAAGTGACCATGTAACAAGTACTGTGCCAGGTGTCAGAATTATAAACTGTTCAATCCCACTCTACAAGGGCTCACATAAAACAAAGTCGTACAGAAGGTGGCAGAAGATGCGCACAGGGTCTGGGGAGAACAGAGGAAGGACAGTCGCTTCTACAACAGGGACCAAGACGGCTGTCATCGGCGAGGTTCCAGGAGTGATGAGCAAGGCCTTGCCAGTACAAAGAGGCGTTTCCATGTGGGAGCTGCCGATCAAGGTATGGAAGCCCACGGCACAGAATTCATAAACCAGCAGTGCTTTGGTATGATTAAAATGACTGACACAAATCAGTTCAAGGAGTGGGTACTGCACTGCTCACCTATGCAGCAGGACAGGAGCAATGAAAACCCTGCTGCTACAGTAATAGCTCTGGCTGCTGGCTACAGCAGGTTGGACTGAACCAAGGAAGAGTATTAAATCTTGGGGGTAAAATGTCTTCTCCCTAAAATAGGCAATTGTACCACCAAGTGCAGACTTATCTTTGGGAAAGTAATAATGCAATTCAGGGCTGGTGCTGTAGCTCAGTGGTACAGTGCTCACATATAGCAAATGAGTGCTTGGGTTTGATCCCCAATACTGCAAAAACACAAACCAAAAAGGACTAATACTATTAAACACTGAGCATCTTTGGAGTGGTGGGGGGGGACGGGTTACACTTCATTTACTTAATGGCATCACAGAGCTGGCTACATTAATAATTATAAAAAGTGTCTTAAGGCTTCAAGCAATTACGTGTGGTGAGTATGTCTAGAATCCAGCATTTACAGTTTCCCACAGGCTGTCATTCTATTAACTTCGAAGTACAGTAGCCCCAAAGGAAAGGATCCAGCACACATTTTAAAAAGAAAAAAAGATCATACCCTCTTTAAAAAAAACACCCATCTCCCAGGATCACGCGCATGCTCGCCAAAAACGCCCATGCTGTCCATGCTGCCACAAAAGAAAAAGGGTCAGATCTAGGTGAAGCTTTAAAAGCTGTACCACTGAGCAGCAAGGGGAAAATTACATTCCACTGCCCTTTCTTTCATCCTCTTTGATTCACAGTGGTCCTGGCAGCAAGGGTGGGAGATGAGAGGACAGACACTGCAAAGGAAGAGCCAGGAAGGCACATCTGGGGCTTTCAGATGAACAGCTACTGCCTTCTAGCAGCTTATCCGTGCAGGTAACATGCTCCTGAATGGAGAGGTTTTTCTCTTGGTTTCTCATTTATTCTTCAAAAATAGTAGTCCATAATAAAAGCAGCATAGGCTTTTTAAAATGTCCTTATCCACAGGGGCTCTTTTGGTAATTCAAAGGTTTCGAATGTTCGAGGTTTACCGCTGACAGGCAGAAAGCCGGTGGTGGAAACAAGCCTTCTTAGATGTAAAGGGTACAATAACAGAGTGAAGATATTGTGCCAATGCATTTATTTTCAGAGCCGTGGGTTCAACCAAGGGAAATACTGTTCTCAGGACAATCTGGAACACATAACACCCTCAAAGGAAGCCTGTACTTTCGCCTCAATTACAATGATAAATATCAGCAACAAGAAAAATGCATAACCAGTAACGATGGCACAAAAAAGTAGCAGAGGGGAATTTGGTCAACTTCTTGGATATTGAGCAGTGACTAAAACAGATTAGGGGCCAGATTTTTTAAATGGGCACCTTGAATTATCAGTTCCTTTTGCCTAAGTTTTGAAATATGCAATGAAATGCTCAATTATAGTGCTTTAGGACTGATACCAAGAAGTAAAGCATTTTCATAACGTCCGCATTATAATTATGAAATTGCTTCACAAGTCATGCACGAGGTGGAAGGATCAAAACTGAACCTCTAATTATCAATTTGGAAATGCATCAGCGTATAAATAATGTTAAAGGTAACCTAAAATGTTATCAAATAGGCTTATCTCCCACAAAAATACTCTGGCTCATCTGAGTAAATAGAACTTCAGGGGTCTGTTTTCTTAACTTCCCTAAGTTTCACAATGTATCTTGGTAAATGGTTCGAACACCTACTTGGGGGCTGGGGATTTAGCTCAGCGGCAAAAGCGCCTGCCTGGCAAGCGCAAGGTCATGAGTTCGGTTCCCGGTACCAGAGAAAAACCAAAAAAAAAAAAACAAAAACAAAAAAAAAACAAAAAACACCTACTTGGTGGTCAAAGACAAATACACAGCACCATAAAATGAGAGAACAATTATCCTTGAACAACCCTGACATGTGACAAATTAAATAGTTCTCAGTGTTTCTCATTATTGAAAAGTTACTCAGCGCATGCTCAAGGTTTTAGAATCCAAAAATCGCTTTCATCTTCATAGAAATGTTCCTTACTATTTTAAAACCAAGTTTTTTTTTTAAAGAAAGAGTTATTTTAATTTGGAGGCCTCGTGAATATAATTCTAAAATCAAAAGAGCCCTCTCTCAATGGCATCATAATATGAACAGATAGAAGTTTAAAAGGTCAGGCTGGGAAAAAAACAAATACAGGAAGAAAGCAGGAATTTATACAAGCTCTCAAGCCATTAGCAGATATGAACAAATGTTAGGTTTTCCTCACCTGAATTTTCAATTCTTTTAATGTTTGATTAGCAGAAACGAGAAGTGCTTTCTCACCGCGAACTTTTCTATGTCGCATACTCCGTCGAATGACTTGCTTTTGATAGGCTATATAGTTTTGATGGGATATCTTTTGCCGCTTTGTCCCTCCGTTGCTCTATAATAAAGATCCAAAACAAAGAAAGCCCTGAAATTGTCTATAATGTGACACTTGCTAATAAAGTTCAACATACACAATGAAAACCTAGAAAGCTTCTTAGCATGCTCACATCTAATTGAATAAAGAAAAGGATAAGTGAAATATACCTCTAAATGCATACAATCACTTTATGTGGTTGTTATATTAAATATTTACAAGCAAAATTAGATGGGCACAACTCTGTGATGTTGAAGCAGGAGAATTCTAAGTTCAAAGCCTGTCTGGGTCACTTAGCAAGATCCTGTCTCAAAATAAAGTGTGCTAGCAGGGCGTGGAAGCACATGCCTGTAATCCCAACACTCAAGAGGCTGAGGCAGGAGGATCGTTGCAAGTTTGAGGCCAGCTTGGGCTACAAAGTGAGCTCAAGGCCAGCCTGAACTGCATAGTGAGACCCTGTCTCAAAAAGACCAAAAAAAAATAATAATAATTAATAAAATAAAGTGGGCTAGGAATGAATGTAGCTCAGTGGTAGAGTACTTGCCTAGCATGCACAAGGCCTGGATCCAACCACCATTACCCAAAAAAAAAAAAAAAAAAAAAAACAAAAGGCAGGGAGGGGGCTGGAGATTTAGCTCAGCGGCATAGCGCCTGCCTGGCAAGTGCAAGGTCGTGAGTTTGATTCCCGGCACCGGAAAAAAGCCAGGGGAAAAAAAAAAAAGGCGGGGCCGGGGGATAAGCTTGACATTCAACCCAAGACACAATAAACTGAAAAATTACTAAACTTAGTTCATGAGTAATCTGAAGTCTAATTTTTTTCTATTTATGAATGAGAACTATGACCTGCTAAGAAGTTTAAAGTGAATGTACCTTAATCAAGAATCAAACTTAGTTTAACAAAAAATTTTAGCCAGGCAAAGTGGCACACAGTGACAATCCCAGCAGGCTGAGGTAGGACGACTGCTATGAGATCAAGGCCAGCCTAGGCACCATTAGTGAGTTCAAGGCAAACATAAACTACACAGCAAGACCTTGTCTCCAAAAAATAAAGACACACTGCCTCTTGTCATACTAGTGAGATATACACTTTCACCTAAGAAGTGCTCTTGCAAAAAATGTTAGAAGTGAATATAATTGAATACTTAGACCCCACTTGCAATTTTTAGGAGCTGGAATGTAGAACACTGGCCAGAATTAAGAATGTATGTCAGGAGGCAATCAGCTGAATCCAGAATTTGAAATAGTTGACAGGAAATCAAAGTGTTCTCCAAGTCAATCTCAAGGAGGGGTAGGTTAGGGGCCAAATGTCCTTCTAGAACACTCTTGTAAGAGGTTAACAAACAGGATTTTTCTTCTAACCCAGACAGGGAATGAAAGCAGGATTAAAAAGAAAAAATACTCTCTGCCTTAATTAAATCTGGATGAGGTGACCCTGAGGCCTCCCTCCGGTCCCACACTTGTCACTGAGTGTCAGCGTGATGAGCAGAATGGCTCAGAGTTACCGTGGATGCAAATGCTCCATGCTCATTAGCAGCAGAGCTCCACGGATATTTTTCCTACAGCTACACAGCAGCTGACCAGGACACAGACAAAAAGAACACTGGTTTCGGAGCTGTACTTTGGCAAGGCACTGCACAAGCCTTAATTCTCATCTTTATTTACCCCTGAGTTTACATAGTTGTGTGGCTGATTCCAAGATTCATAAGAGAATGTTAAGTGGGCTTAGCAGGTTCTCTTTTTTTTTTTAGCATTTTTTTTAAAATTCAAAATCGATGGATTATTTCTCTCAATCTCAACTGCTGAAAAGGTCAAATCGAACCTATATTCTACAATTGGGAGTAAAAAGGGAAAATATCTGCAGAAATTTTTATTTTAGAATTATAAAATCTAACCAAAAAAACAAAACCCTGCAGATCAAGTACGATAATTTTTAAAGACTGAGGTCTAAAGGCTTTTCTTGAAATTATTCTCCATTAAATCCACAGAATTTAAATCCCACTTAACTGGGGGGGAAAAAAAAAAAAAACAAAAAAAACCCACAAAAATATACCAGTCTACTGGTTTTAGAAGGATTCCAATTACCTAAGTGATATCGAATACTGAGTGTATTATTAACCTAAATTTTAGATAACATCAAAAGAACTGGCTTGATCTAGTGAGGGAAAGGGATTTGCTCAAGTCCATTAAGGACAAGTACAAACGCATCGTTCTGTATTAGAGGGATTTACAACAGCAATCACAGGAGCTGTCTATGTTCGGAGAGCTCCGACATATTTACAAAGGAAGAGTGAGAGGAGAGTGATATTCTGGAGAGGCAGGGTGCTCTTCAGGGACTATACTCATCTAAACAAAGGTTAGACTTGAGATTTTTTTGTGAACCAAAAATATTTAAAGCATCCTACAGTATTACAACATCCAAATAAGGTCAAGGAATACAGAGCAAAATTATAAAGTATAAAATATAATTGCAGCACAAAAGCAACGTTCCAACATTCTCTATCATATTTATAAATACGAAAGCTGTTGTCATCCACATCCACTTCAAAAACATGACTGTGGTTATGGCCACAATGAATAAAACCAGACATTCAAAAAATTAGCCTTTCACGATGCAAAGGTTTCTTCGGGGGCTGGGCAAGGGGAAATTCTGGGGATTGAATCCAAGGCACATGCACACTAAGCAAGCACTCTACCTCCGAGCTACAGGCACGGTCCCTGTAAGACACAGCAAGTCTTTTTTGTTGTTTTTTTTCGAGACAGGGTCCTCCTCTCTATCTATGCAGCAGCGTAGACTAGCCTTGTCAAACTCAAAGTGATCCCCCTGCCTAAGTGCCGGGATTATAGGTGTACGCAACCACACCCAGCTATTTTCTTTTTCTTTCTTTTCTTTTTGAGACAGGGTTTCTGTATGCAGTTCAGGTTGGCCTTGAGCTCACTTTGTAGCCTAGGCTCGTTTCAAACTTGCATTGGTCCTCCTGCCTCAGCCTCCCGTGTGCTGGGATTACAGGTGTGCCACCCAGGTATTTTCTAAACTCTTAAAACTGAAAACCAAAGCTTGAAATAAAGATAATAAAATATGTATCAGCCTTAACTAACCAGGTTTATCAGAGAATAGAAAATAAATTAGCAACAACTGAAAATGAAAGATGAGAAAAAAAGGTGAGATTTGTAACTAATCATTAAAACACACTATGCATCAGGCTTGGTGGTACACACTTATAATCCCAGCACCCTGGAAGCTGAGGCAGGAAAAACACAAGATGTAGGCTGGGTTACACAGTGAGTTTCATGGTCAGCCTGAACTAAAGTGAAACCCTGCCTCAAAAAAATCAAAATACCAGAGTCAAGTGACAATAATTAAAATCAGTATGGCACTGCAAGCCAAGATGAGAATGTTGTTTTGATCAAAGATGGGCATGTAATCCTATGCATCAATGTCTAGGTACATATGCATATGCATTAATATATCAACTAAAAATGCAAATAATCTACTTGAAATTATGGAGATTGGGATACGGTGATGACATAAAAGCAAAGTGAAACATTGGACAGCAGCAAAGTTGTGCCTGCAGACTCATTATCAAGAGACACGTGTGGTAGTCAGGGGTGGTGGCGCACGTCTGTAATCACAGCACTCAGGAGGGTAAGGCAGGAGGATCACTCCAAGTCCCAGGCCAGCATGGGTTACATAGTTAAGTTCAAGACCAGCCTGAACTATAGTGAGACCCTGTCTCATGAAACCAAGAGAAGGGAGGCAGAGTCACCTTTGAGTATTTGTAGCCTCAGGGAAGATAGGCACACATCACTTAATTTAGGAAAATAACACACCAAAACCGAAAATCTGCATTGTGTAGAATGTACACAGATTTGGCCGGAACTTAAGACAAGGGCTTACCTGGTTTGTTCAAATTTGGTAGGACAACTTGAACCCAAGTGGCTGACGAACTGTCAGCAGACTGGTGCATAAAACTGCACGGTTTCTGATCTTTTGTAGGTGTTGTAAGGTTATTTTATGAAACTCCAACACGACAAGGAAAATAAATGTTGACATATTCCTTTACAGCAAATGGGAAACTGCAAGGAACAGTTTACCTTAGACAGACCAAAGGTCACAGCTTTCTTAATGCTGAAAAGGCCGTACAGAAAGAACCAGGCTATACAGGCCAATGAGCCCGGATGTGTCTGCTCAGGAACAGACACAGCAGATGGCCATCATACCGCTTTTCCAGGGAGAATGCTAACCATAATCTGCCTACCTCACTTTAGGGACAGGATATTTTACCCATAAAAACCAAACACCGAATTTAAAGTATCTATAGGAGCACAGTGTTCTTTCTGATATGCTGAAGTTTATCTAAACCACACATCATGCAAACGCATTCTCACCCTAGCTCAATTTTAAGACGATTTCCTTTGGGCTGGGACAGAAAACAGGAAACACAGTAAACGGTCAATTTTAATAGAAAATGTTATGTGGATACAAAGGAAAAGTCAGCTGATCTGGTCATTTAACACCATAGAGGGACAACAATCTCTTCCACATAGCTCAATACTAAAGCTACTCTTATTTAGTAATGTCAGAATCTGAGTTAAATAAATTTTGCCATGTGTCAAGATTCCATCATTTAAAAGTATAGTAAAGGCGCTGGGGATTTAGCTCAGCGGCACAGCGCCTGCCTGGCAAACACAAGGTCGTGAATTCGATTCCCGGTACTGGAAAAAACAAACAAACAAACAAAAAGTATAGCAAGATAAGCCTTGGTTTAGTGTTCTTTTTCAGTCAAAATTTTTATCTTATATTTCTGTGCTTCTCAGAAAAGATTATAAGAAATTTATTAATTCTGGAAGAAATAAGACCCATGGCTTTTCATGAGAAATCAGAACAACTGCAGCAGTCCACCAAAATTAAGGAAAGGCAAGAGACGGAAGGAACTGAGAAGCAACTCCACACCGAGGGCACGGAAGTGTCCACGGGCCTGGAGGGATATTGAGTGAGAAGATGAACGGCTGCACACCCGTTGCAAATGAAAAGCAGCTTCAACACGTACTTGATTAAAATCTGGGTCTTTCTCTCCATCTGGTTTAGCTTCTTCCTTGTCCTCCTCTGTTTCGGAACTGCTCACATTCAGCTCCGGAGCTGAATCCTTCATCACCTGCATGTGCCGGGACCACAGAGAGAACCAGGTCAAGGTCAGCACCCAGGAAGGCAGGCTATTGGAGCTCGCAGTACCTGTGACTTGCAACCTGAGTGAGAAAGTCACCTTTCTTGTGGTGAGAAGACAGGTGGGAAGGGCGGGCCAACAGAATTCTACGCTGTTTTCTGTATTCTCTTCACATGTTAGTTTAGCCCTCTGACCATTCTTGTATTTAATCCATTCATCATAAATAAGAGGTCTCTGATCCGCAAGTATTACCAGGCTTGTATAATGATGTTCTTCTGCAGAAATTCAAAGGCACCCTACCCTTGTCAAGCCTTTTCAATCAAACCCCGAAACTGCTGAGGTGAGAGGAGTTGCAATGCTCCTCCTTAAATGAGAAAGGGAGCTGGGCATAGTGGTACATCTCTATAATCCCAGCAACTCAGGAGGCCAAGGCAAGAAGATCAAATTTAAGAGAAATGTGGGCAACTTAGCAAGACTATGTTTAAAATTTTAAAAATTAAAAAGGCTGGGGTGTAGCTCTGAGGCACACTGCATTTCAAGTCTGAAGCACTGACTTGATCCCTCAGCACTGACAAAAAAGATAGAAAAAAGAAATGAACAATGAAGGAGTGCTGGGTATAACGCTGTGAAGTACTGATATTACATTCAAAATAACGGAACATCACCTAACCTGAATACTATCATGCTAGATACCACTGTATACATGTTCCAAAAGGTGTGAAACATTTAGGGATACTTTAGGGCAAAGATACTTGTATTCATTAACTTCTTTTTCTCACTGAGTTAGGAGATAAAGATCTTATTTTTAACTTGTCACACGCACAACCCTAGATGTGTCTGAAGATAATTATCTTTCTAAAACTGGTAACTTGGCTAGGTGTGGTGATGCACACCTGTAATCCCAGCACTTGGGAGTCCGAGGTAGGAGGATCCTTGCGAGTTCGAGACCAGCCTGAGCTACAAAGTGAGCTCAAAGCCAGCCTGAAATGCAGAGCAAAACCCTATCTAAAAAGACCAAAAAAAAAAAAAAAAAAAGGTAACCAGCAAAGCATTCGTTTTTAAGCCCTAAAATCCTGAGATTGATGGGCTGTCCTGAAATCCACATGAAGATCTCCTCCATAGCCAACACTAATGCAGTAAAAATATGCTGGGTTCTTTTGCAGATCAATGCACAAGGTTATAAACTGTCCTTCCTTAGATTCCAAATTCAGTGCCAGGGTCACTGCCCCATATCCCACAGCTGGAAGCACAGGCCACCACACCTGACCAGGGTGACTCTTCTATGATTTTCACTGTGCTGTTTGAGCATAGTTAGGCTTACCACCTTAGCTTTTGTTTCCTAGAATACTTGTTCTAGGCTGCACCCTTGATAGCGAGAACACTCAGATAATCTGCTCCTCTATGATGACCTCCCTGTCTACTCCCTCTCTGGCACTGCAAACTTCACTTCTGTCAGCCTCTTGCTCAACCCTGCTAGATGCACTGCACATACTTCCCCATGTGAAATCACTGAATGCACGGCTGAGCTCAGTGTGTTAGTCCATCACTATAACCCCAGCACTCACTAAGACCATTCTTGGCCCACAGCTGACATTCAGAAGTATGCATCAAATTAATGACAAACAAAACCCATACAGATCACATAACTATTCATTTTCAACTCTGTCAAATTCTAAGTCTGATGCCAAACAGTTCTGAGGAAACAGAAATCCATCCCCAAGCAGTCCAGTGAAAATACAACAGCAAGTCAAACAGCAAGATTAATCATACTAGTCAGGGCCACAAGAGGGAGCAGTACCTTTTTATTGTCCACAACTTTGTGGACATAGATGGTGGCCTGAGTGTACTCCCGCAGGTCCCTCTGCTGCTGGCACAGCAGGCCCTCTCTGCAGTCCAGACAGAGCTCTGAAAAAGTACAGCACAAGTGGGTGAGGAATCACTGTCAAAGAACTGAAGGTGGAAAAGCATGTATCAAAGTCACTGGAGCAAACTCATTACAGTATTACATTAATTGTTCTACTGTTGTATGCAAATAACCTCCAGGAGAGTCATTTATTGTGCGCGAATAATGAGATGTCCCATGGCAGTTCCTGCCTAGGTAGGTGGGCTGCCACAAGACGATTTCTTTTTTCAGCATGAGGGATTGAAGCCTGGCCTAAGCAGTAGGCAAGAGCTCTACTACATGAGCCCAGCCTCGTATGACTTTAAATTCAAGCAGAGGGCACAATATTCACATACCCTTTCTTCCCCGTCCTTAAACACCAATTTTTAACTATAGAAACCACATGCAGGGCTGGGGATTTAGCTCAGCGGCACAGCGCCTGCCTGGCAAGTACGAGGTCGTGAGTTCAATTCCCGGTACCAGAAAAAAAAAAAAAAAACAGAACAAAACAACAACAACAACAACAAAGAAACCACATGCAATATTAAAACTTACTAGGTTCAGAAATATATTGTGTTTCTGAAGGGTTTACATCTCCCACTTCAATTCTTGTGATTTTAATTATATGATCCACCACAAACAGCTTTTGTATCATCTGCCACTCGCTGGGCCATATCAGAGCTATACTGTGCAAGAAAAAAACACAACATGCCTTAAGACACAAGGCGATTAAGAACACTAAACACAATCCATTAGCCCCCAATGCCAAATCCTCACCGCCAGTGTTTAACACAAGGACACTGGAGGGGAAAGATATATTAGCATCAAGAAGGACTAGTTTTTCATACAAAGGAGTATTAGAGCAGCAGTTACAATAAATGAGGAAGTTAGACGAATCAACATGTACATTCAAGGACACAAGGTGAGTAAAATAAGTTAGAGGATAAATACAAAACATCATTATGTGTTTCTTTTTAAAAGACTTTTCTGAGACTGGTAACTCTCAAATTCAGGATAGTGCTTAATTTGAAAGAAACAGGAAGCAAAGGGTAGGAATGGATAAAAGGAGCCTCCAATTACACTTTTTTTTTTGGTCTTTTTGAGACAGAGCTTTGCTATGCAGTTCAGGCTGGCCTTGAGCTCACTTTGTAGCCCAGGCTGACTTTGAACTTGCAACGATCCTCCTCCTGAGCGCTGGGATTACAGGTGTGCACCACCACGCCAGGCTCCAATTACATTTGAATTCTGTAACCTTTAAAAAAAACTAGATGTATTTACTTGTTTCTTAGAGGTATTTCCCTAAATGTAGGGCATTAACAATAATAAAAGGAAAAATGGAAAGAAGGGAGGGAGGGGAAGAGCTAGGGGAAAATCTAGAAGAAAATTTATATTATTAACTCTTTAGTTTCTTTAAATTATTATTACTATATTTTTTTTGAGAGACAGTCTCACTGCGTAGTTCAAGCTGGTCTTGGACTCACTATGGTGCCCAGGCTAGCCTGGAACTCCCAAGTGATTTTCCTGCCTCTGCCTCCTGAGTGTGGGGATTACAGGCATGCTCTTTAAATGATCTTAATGTTTTTAAATATGAGCAATAAACCTTCACTTAGCTTGGTCTAAAGGGAATTTATTTACTTTTAAATACTGGGGATCAAACCCAGGGCTTCACACATTCTAGACCAAGTGATTTACTGCAGAGCTATACCCCCACCCAGCCTGATAATTTTTGTGTTCCAATTTCTTCTTCCCTGGCTTTTCTAGCAGTGCTGGAGGCATATAACTTCCTCTTCTACAATAGTCTTAACATTATTTTTTAAAAATGGCAACATCAAGGGTAAGGTTCACAGGCCAGGCGTGGTGGTGCATGCCTGTAATCCCAGCACTAGGGAGACTGAGGCAGGAGGATCATTGCGAGTTCGAGTCCAGGCTGGACTACAAAGTGAGCTCAAGACCAGCCTGAACTACACAGTGAGACCTGTGGGCAGCTGCAGAAAAACAAACAAACAAAAAAAAGAAAAATGAAAAAACAACTATAACACCAAGACTATGTTGATTACGTGATTCTGGAATAGGGGCTGATCTAGAGGTTCGAGGCTAGCTACCAGTGGCCTGGCTGGAGGCCAGGGGTGAATCTGGTTAACAGGTATGACAAGGTATGAGTGAGCATTAAGGGAAAAGCAAGCTTGTGCCTCGTCTAGATAAAGTCTGTCTCCGTAAAGAAAAGTGCTCCTTCTAGGACAGCATACAAAGGGAAAAAGTTTATGATCTAGGGAATGACTACATTCTTAGAATGTACTGCTCATATTGGGGGGCACTTTCCTCAGCTTCTCATTAATCATTAGAAACAGAAAATCACATGAAGAGAAGAAAAACTCACAGTTTAGAATCTTCTTTGGTCATGGAAGCAAATGTAAACATAAGTCCCCCATGGGGACACAGAAGGGCGCTATTTCCAACCGACGACACAGGACTACATCTTGTAGGCTTTCTGCGCAATTGAGACAAAGAAGACAAATATACCTCATTATTGCAGAAGGGAAGATTTTAAAAGTAATTATTCAAAAATGAGATAAGCATACAGGGATATTAGCAACTAAATGTGTTTCTTGTAGTTATTTGTTTAGCTTCATAGAAAAGAAAGCTTACAGCGTACCTGGTTAAGGTAACCAAGAAGAGAACCACAAATAAGATCCATGAATTCTTAAAGAAAAACAACTAAAGTCAACCCCCAAAGTAAGAAATTTCTGGTGTCTACCTAACAAATTTCCGCCATTCTTCTACAAAGAACTGTGACACGATATACAGGACGTCCGTATCCTGGAACATAAAAATCACAAAAGGGAACACATTAATTTCTCTCCATACACCGTTAACTTACACTCTATGATGAACAGGAGGTCTGACTCATTCAAATTTTGTAACCGATGGAAATATAGCACTCTACCAGGAAACAGCTGGAGAAAATCCCCATCTGGTTACCTAAATATGAAAGATGCTCTCTGCTAGTCTAAAAGAACTGATCAGGAATATTTGGCAAAGTAATTTTTAAAAGTAGAGGGAGTCTTTCCTTTGTGGGAATCGCTATACCTCCGGCCAGTTACTGAGACAAGGTCTGTTTTTGTCCTGGAACAAATTCGGAAGAGAAGTCTTTTGTTCATTTGCGATCATCTTATGTAAGGCTTCGTTTTCTTCTCCTTCTCTTTCTAAAATCTGAGGGAAAATGCAGCAAATCAGCTGTCTCCTGCTGACAGTACATGGCTTGCCTCCACCCCACACGCCCATCAAGAACACAGTGTTAATGCTGCCGTGCCGGCAAGTCGCCCCGGGGCGGTGGCGTTGGCACAGAGTTCAGTACCTTGCACTGCGAACAGCACTCTCTGTAACTTGGAAACTCGGGAGCCTTCGGGAAGTACTGCTGCAGCTTGCTCCATGCCTCTTTAGAGACCAGCCTTCGTTCATTCTCAGAGATGCACAATTCCCCTGAGTTTAAAAGACAGTCAGTTGTACGGGTGAGTAAAAGGGCAGGGAAAAAGTCAGGACCTAGTTCCTATTTCCCCAAGGCTTACTTCCTAATACTGCTGCTTAAATTTATGAAAATTTCCTAAGTATTCGTCTCCTTATTTCCATGGTTACTCATGTATGTATTGTGAGTACACACAAGAAAATAAATCCTCTAAACGTTTAATTTCAATTTAATTCTAAAGGAGAAAGCTATGAATCCTCAATCTAAGTCTATGGCTGGAAAAAAAAAAACAAATCAGGAGATGAAACACTTCAGTACTCCCCGCCAACGGAGCAATGGTAAACAGAGGCCACAGTATTTCCTCCACCGCCACGCTCAAAGGCCACAATTTTCTGCTGCCTTTACTGCCTGGCATTTGCATGTGAGTGAAATCAGCCTGCACTGAATTATTTCCAAGGCTGTGTAGCACTCAGAGGCCTATTCTCTTAAAACTATCAATTCAAAGTTAACTGATAATGCAATCTACCAATCAATCTGAAAACCAACCCCAGTCAAGGTCCAATTTCTTTGCTGTTCCCAAACTGTTTTGCAGGATGCCTTGCGTGTCCCCTCTCCTTAATTCCCAGAGGACAAGAATACTTCTGCTCATGATCACCTTGCCCGTTCTCAGAGGATCTCAGGAATGCCAAGGTCATAGCAGGCTACACTCTCAAGCCCTTCCCAGTACAGTTTTTCTATAATTGCTTTTTTTTGGGAGGCGGGGAGACAGGCTCTCGCCAGGTACCCCTGGCTGGCCTCCAACTTTCAGAAGTCCTCCAGTGATGGGATTACAGACATGCACCACCACATCCAGCTAGTTTACTGTCACTTATGTACAGTGAGTTACATTGCACATAAATCACCTGAGAATCAGAATGATGATTAATGTACCAGTCAGGATCACTACAGGTACACAACTTCAGTCTGTTTTATCTTGTCTCCATAATTTCTATTACCTTAAAGTGCAGCTTCTTAACTATCAGCATCACCTTTTACTATTGTTTTAACAATCTCAAGATTATTTTCACTAATATACTTATTATCCAAGAAATTTAGTTCACAATATAGGACTCTCTTTCTAAAGCTATTCATTTAAATTTCCTTGCAGGCCATAAACACTCCAACATGTCTATTCTCAGACACAAGTAAGACATTAAAAAAGGAAAAAAAAAAAATTTTTTTTTTTCCGGTACTAGGAATCGAACTCACAACCTTGCGCTTGCCAGGCAGGCGCTGTGCGCTGAGCTAAATCCCCAGCCCCAAAAAGGAAAGAAATTTAATTGGATTCTCTTTTTTTTTTTTTTCCCCGGTACCGGGAATCGAGAACTCATGACCTGGTGCTTGCCAGGCAAGCACTGTGCTGCTGAGCTAAATCCCCAGCCCCTTAAACCTCAAACCCCAATGAGTACATCCTTGTGGTGAAATACAATGCAGCCACAGGTAGATTTTTATGAATTGATTTAGCTCAAACAACTCCAAGCCAATTACTATGTAATGTTTACAGTAGTTTTTACCTTTTTACTCTTTTCCTAAAAGCAGTGGGCTGGGGTTGCAGCTCACTGGCAGAGCACTCTCCTAGCATAACCATGGCACACGTTTAATCCCTAGCACCATGAGTGTAGAGAGGCTGATGCAAAAAGATCACAAGTTCAAGGACAGCCTGTTTAACATCTTGAAATGAAAAACATCTAAAAAGGGCTGAATATGTGGCTCGGTGTAAAGGTTGTAGATTCAGTCCCCAGTATTGCAAAAAGAAAGAAGGATTGCTTCCTTATGTATGTACGATACAATCAAATCAGGGAAAATGAAGGGACCAATAATACACACACACACTTTAACATGTAAATCAGTAGAGGGGCTATGGATTGAGATCAGGGTACAGCTGAGGACCTGGGCTGGCCACCAGCACTAACCTCCACCCAACCTGCAGAGAATTTCAAAAGCACTATGGACGCACTGCCTTTTGCGGCTTTGGGTACTCACAAGCGTTTAGGTCAGATGGACTTTACTCACGTGGTTTTTGAAAAGTAGCACATAAGTGTTCTAGTAGCTCATCTCTTTCTTTCTTCCTTTGTGTAGGTCACCTTGGACTACTGTGTAGCTCAGGCTAGCTTTTGAACACTATGTAGCCCAGGCTGGCCTTGAAATTGCAATCCTCCAGCCTCAGCCTCCCAAGTGCTGCAATTACAAGCAAGTGCTACCCCATCAGGCTGTCGTAACTCACTTTATGGTAGCCTAGCAGGCAATGAATACAAATGCTTCTCCTCTACAGGTACAGTGTTTTAGCCGTGCTTCTAACTTTCATTTCTGTCACATTAACAGCTGCTAGAGTTTTGGATATTATCCATGACCTAAATAATCATCTTTTACTTATCACATATGAATGTATAGATATCACAACTGTTCCCAACAATAAATATCATTTTATAAATTAGAAAAGAAAAAAACAATTTAAATTCCTGTAAACAGTATCTTCAAACAAAAGATAAAATTAGTTGTGAAGGCTGGGCATGGTGGCGCACGCCTGTAATCCCAGCATTCCCAGGGCTGAGGCAGGAGGATCACCTAGGCAGTTCTAGACCTGCCTGGGCTACAAAGCCAGTCTGAACTTCGTACTGAAACCTTGTCTCAAAAAGGAAAAAAAAGTTGTGAGGTTTAATGTAGTAAATGAATACTCAAAAGAATCTTCTGGTAAAAACAGCAATCTAGGGCTGGGGATGTAGCTCAGTAGTAGAACATTTGCTAGCATGCACAAGGCCCCGAGTTCAACCCCAATACCACCAAAAAAAAAAAAAAAAAAGACTTAACAGTGAATTCAGATTGATAAGCACTCCCTCTACCACCACAATCTAGTTCAAACTACATTTAACTGGGCCACAGAGCATCCAAAAGCCATCTTCAAAACGCGTGCTTGTATTAAAAATAAAGTCATAGGGCTTTGGAAACACACAGGAAAAAATAAAATAAATAAAAAATATAATTTATGCCAGGCATGGAAGTGCACACTTTGGAGAACCACCGTGAGTTGCAGGCCAGCCTGGGCTACATAGTAAGTTGAAAGCTAGCTTGAACTACATAGTGAGACCTTGTCTCAAAAAAGGAAGGAAGGAAGGAAGGAAGGAAGGAAGAAAGGAAGGAAGGAAGGAAGGAAGGAAGGAAGGATGGACAGGAGGGAGGGAAGGAGGGAGGGAGGGAAGGAGAGAGGGAGGGAAAGAAAGAAAAAGAAAGAAAGAAAGAAGAACAGAAGAGAAGAAGGAAGGAAGAGAAAAAAAAGAAACAAAGAAAGAGAGAAAGAAGAAAATATGTAATTCAAAACAAGGACTTTCAAATGCCAAGTGCAGTGGTGCACAACTGTATCCCCAGCTACTCCCGAGGCCGAGGAAAGCTTGCTTAAGTCAACACAAGCAGTTTGCCGCCGGCCTGTGTATCATGGCCACAAGACATCCAAAAGCAAACAAACCAAAAGGAATTGCAGCTCAGTGAAGAAGCTAGGAGTCCAATCCCTAGTTCGAAAACAAACCAATTTATTTTCATTGCCTCCCATCAAGTATTAATAAGCTTGTCAATAAATGTCTCAGAAATTATATGTATAAACAGCCCTAATAATATGTAAGACAGACCCAAAGTGTTCAAGTTGGATAAAGATACACAGTTACAGGAAACAACTGATGTTCTTCTGTTCAAATTCAAAATTCGGGCTGGGGATAAAGCTCAGCAGTGCCTTGCATGCACAGGACCCTGGGTTCAATCCCCAGCACCACAAAAACAAACAAACAGATACAGCTCAGTGGCATAAGCACCTGTCTGGCAACCATAAGGTCCTGAGTTCGATTCCTGGTAACAAAAAAAATAAAAAACGCAAACAAATTCAAAATTCAGTGTCAAAAGTACAAAGAAGTTTCTTCTCCACTTGATTCCTCTAAGTACTAGGGAAAGGCTATCATTCTGAGCAAAGAAGGTGAGGGCGTGGCATGACACCTGCTGGTAGAAACTAACAGTTACACAGGATAAGAGCGGAAACATCAAACATAGGCACACTACATAAAACCAATTCTTCTCCCCAGCCGTCACTTAGGCTTAGTCCCTAAGACAAAGAGGAGTTGAACAAATGTTTATTTATGGTACACTATGGTACAACTACCACATTCATTATTGTAGCTTACCATGTGGACACAGAATGTCTTCATTAAAATTTAATTCTTCTTCTTCTTCTTTTCTTTCCTCCTTTGATTCATCTAAAGAAATACAGATGATAACTGCTCTAATTATTGTATGTAAAAGTTCAAGCTGAGTGTGGTGGCGCATACCTGTAATCCCAGCAGTTGGGAAGCTGAGGCAGGAGGATCGCTGTGAGTTCCAGGCCTGCCTGGGCTACAAAAGGAGTTCAAGGCCACCCTGAACTGTACAGTGAAACCCTGTCTCAAAGACAAAAAAAAAAAAAAAAAAAAGTTCAACCAGTAGATACACTACTCAACAGTTTGTTCTGCTTTGGTATTTATTTTGTTTAGTCAAGGACTCACTGTGCAATTCATGCTTTGAACTCCTGGCTATCCTCCTGTCTCAGCTTTCTTAATACTGGGATTATTACATCATGCAGAGCTTCTTTTGGTATTGAGACATGGTCTTGTAGCTCAGGCTGGCCTCAAAATCGAGGTCAACCTGCCTTCCCCTTCAGACTGCTGGGCCCTCTGAGGTGTGCACCACCACACCTAGATATTCTGCACAATGTTGAACAAAAAAAAAAAAAAAATCTTAATTCTAAAAATTAGATCCAAATGATTCCTATGTATTCTCCTAAGTGTAATATCTTTCCCTTAAAAGGATAGGAAAATCTTAACGACATTTAACTTTTAAAAAAGATTTAGGTTATGCAAGAAAATCTACCCCTTTTTTTTCAAACAAAAATAATTTACATATCTTTCTACTAATCCTACGAATATTGCATCATAAGCTGAATTAGTCATCTCTATGTCGTGTCATTTTCACCTACGTTCTTTCGTAGAGGTTGAATAGAAGCTCTAAGGCACACAGAAGGACTTCAACTTTAATGGGAAAAATACTACATAATAACGCAGCTATTCACATTAACATATCTCTTCCATTTTCCTTTTCCTACACTTCTAATATTATGTCCCTGCCATTTGTACTTGTGTGTACTGGGAACACTAATAATAAAATCTTTAGCAGGAGATTAGGACAGTTATCCATGGATTTTCCAGGTTAAGTACCCTAACACTTTTTAATGCATTTAATGCATGTGAACATTTACTAACCACTGAAAAAGCTCAATTACAGCTGGGGGTGCAGCTCTGTGTAGGACTGTGAGGGTGCAGGACTTATGTTAAATCCTCAAATGCAGAAAACCAGAAGTGGTCAAGCCACCCAACCATCATCAGCTTCTTCACCTATGTGTTTCAACACCCAAATGCAAGTAACTTTTCCTTTTTTAAATTTTTTAATTTTTTTTTTAACTTTTTGAGACAGGGTCTCACTGTGCAGTTCAGGCTGGCCTTGAGCTCACTCTGTAAACCACGATGGTCTCGAACTCACAATGATCCTCCTGCTTCAGCCTCCCAAGTGCTGGGATTACAGGCATGTGCCACCAGCCCGGCTCCGCAAGTAACTTCTCAAATGAAAGGCTAATCAACCTCAATTTTGGAAAATCTAAATTGCAGCACTGCGAATTCATTTTCATATACAGAGTGATTAAGACTGATGCCTGAGGGGCTGGGGATTTAGCTCAGCTGCACAGCACCTGCCTGGCAAGCACAACATCGTGAGTTCAATTCCTGGTACCGGAAGAAAAACAAAAACAAAAAAAACAAACTACAGAAAAGACTGATGTCTGACACTGTATATGGCCCAAAGCATGCAGAAAATAAGCCTCTAATATATTTTCTAAAGGAAATTTATCAGTATGCACCAATATAAATGAGTATGTAGCAGTTATAAATTATTTAAGTCTCTATACAAATTTTAAGAATCTAGCCGGGCATGGTGATGCACGCCTATAATCCCAGCACTGAGGAGTCTCAGGCAGGAGGATTGCTGGGTGACAAAGGGAGTACAAGGCCGGTCTGAACTGCACAGTGAAAACCTGTCTCAAAAAAAATTAAAAAAGAAAAAGGAAGAAAAATCTCTCAGAAATAATCTGAATAGGCAACGACGTAGGTGCAAGGACACCCCAAGATGTTCACTGAATAACGTGTTCAATACATACTACTTGAAATAAGCATTTAAATAAGCATAAGATTCACACAATAAAATGTAGCCACTACACAAAAAGAGCTATACATTATGACAGGAGGAGAAGCACAGCTATGCCTGTGTGAGATTCTCCATAAAAAGCCACTATACTCAGTGATTATGTCTCCTGGAGGGCTTTCAACTTCTGCACTGTTACATTTCTGCAGATTAAAGCTTTTAAAATTTTTGAATGGCCAACAAAGGAGAAAGAATAGAAGCACACTACCCAGAAAGCACCATGAAAAATAATGTTAAGCTAGGCCAACATCACGGCATTTTCCATGGCAGCATCCAACTGTACTTAAAATGAGGAAACACCAATACATAGAAGCTAAAAACAGCAGCAAATATATACTTGGCCATGTAATACCACTACAACTGCAGCATGGTTTTTTAAATCACAGGATAATCTGAAAATAATGTTAAGCTCATAAATCACGCAGCACAACAAAATAAAGGAAAAACTACAAACTTGAAAAATTTTAAAACATACCTCAGAAGGCTAAGGGTGTTGCTCAGTGCTAGGGCACATTCTTGGCATGGCATGCACAGGCCCTGGGTTCAACCTCCATCACCAAACCAAGAACACAGCTCAATGGGGCTTAAAATTAATAGTGGGTTGGTGTGAAAATTTGCTCAAAAGTGGGTGATGACATGGGAAGGTTAAAGCCAAATAATTATATCTAGTTACGCAAGACACAAAATGCTGAAGTATGTAAAATATACACTTCAAAATGTTAAGAACATTAATATAAATAGCATGTGGTCACATGGGCTTATAATCCTACAACTCTGGGAGGATGAAGGAGGAGGGTCTCAAGTTTGAGCTCAGCCTGGGTAACTTAGTGAGACAAGGTCTCAAAAAAAAAGGTGGGGGGGATATAGCTCAGTGTGAAGTCCCTGATTTCTGTCCCTGGTGTAGAGATAAAGAGGGATGAAAAAGAGAGGGGGAAGCGAAGGAAGCAAAGAAAAAAAGAATAAAATAATAATCTGCATGTAAAAAAAAAAAAAAATCTGCATGGAATAACAGCAAGGATGGGAAGTAGTGGTACAGCACTTGTCTGGCCTAGATGAGACCCTGAGTTCAATCCCCAGCACCAAAGCACAGAAAGAAAACAAATTAAAAAACTACAAAAAAAAAAAAGAGACTGAAAAACAGAGGAAAATGTAGTATTTAGTAAAGCACGTGATTATGAATTACTAATTAGGGATCACAGGATCGCTATGTATAATCAATCAACCTGTCAATTAGTGAAGTGGCTCAAATCCCGTCCCTGGTCTGCCTTTCAAACCTTGTTTATTTGTGGTCCTGGGGATGAAGCACGGGCCTCACTCGTGCTATGCAGAGCTCTGCCTGTCCTCCATGTTAAATCTTGAAATAATTTTAATGTTTCAATTTCTTCTAATGCCTTATAAACCTAAATTTGTAGAGTAACATTTCTCATCCTAAAGCAGAGCTTTGGGTAACTCAGGTATCAGCAAAGAAATTACAAGGAAAAACTTATCCACAGATGGCCCTCCCTTCTGGGTTAAGGGCTACGTGCATGCTGATCTGCACGAAGACGGCAGCCTGTCAGAGTGAGTCAGAGTCCTGAGTTTACAACACACTGTGACTTGCAGCAGAGTTACCTTCCTTAAAACTTACAGGCTGGACCAGAACTAATATTAATTTTGCATATGATTACTTAGATGGAGCTTGAGCCCCGAGAATGACTGCTTATGAAGGAGAATTCCGTGTGCAGCTGCGAGGTCTTTGCTGATCCAATAGCTTAAAAATATCTTTTATTTGGCTCTAGGTTCATGAGAGCTTTCGATGTAATAGAAGTTGCCTCAATTACATGGGTAGATACAAAATCGATTTACTACACACAAAACTTTTAACTTCACGGTAAATTTCCTGCACACAGGTTACCTTTATTAAAGGTGTTGCCGTTCATTTTCCCGTTGCTTTGGTCTACATCCCCATCTTGCTCGTCTAGTTGCTCGAGGGCTAGCTGGCGCCAACTCCGCAAGGATGACTTTCCCACCCAAAATCCATCATTGCTGCAGAAGAGAGGAAGGTTAAATCATACAGTAAGGTTTGCTTCTGCGCTTCCTTCTATCCCTGGAAAGATCACAGCCAAAGCAAACTGCAAATACTCAAATCACCTACTGTGCACAGGCACATACATTTTTTCACCCAATGCCAGCTTGTGGCCATTTTTACTCACTCCTGGACTGCAGGTGTCAAACATTTTGAGTGGCCGTTTATGGAATCTCATAGGGAAGGGCAGCTACTCATGTCCCCTTAACAGTCCATCTATCAGGGAAAGTTGTCCTCTTTGAGAAATACATGGAGAGGTGAGGAAGGTGGAAAAGCCAGCCACAAAGCCAGCCAGATCAGCCGAATCATCCCAGGCAATGAATAGGGTGATAGATAGGCAGCCAGACTGTGACATTAGAAGGTATCTAATATTTTGTAGCCAGTCTCAACCTCATCCTGTATCTCCTACTATCATTTACATTCATTCATAGCAGCCACATCTGTAAAATGGGCACCCTTTTTCACTTGATTACTACTCCACAGTTACACAGTCCCACACACACCCCACACTCTTGTGGGACTGAATCCAAGGTCTTCTCACTGAGCTATACCTCCAACTCTCCCTTTTTAAAATCCTGAGACAGAATCTTGCTAAGTTGTAAGTTATGCAAAGCTAAATCTTGGCACTGTTCTCAGTCTCCCAGAATGCTGGGATTACAGCCTGTGGCACCATGCCTGGGTTACAGCCGTACCTTAAGCTTGGCACAGTGATGCTCAGATAAAAACATGCAACCCCTTGAACATGTTTAGGCACACAGGAGGCTGTTTGTGGAACCATCCAAAATAGCCAACTATTTATCTTTATTCAAAAGATTAAGTAAATTAAACCTAGATATGGCAAATCCTATCATTTCCTGAGTTGAGGTACTCTATGGGAGGGGGCTCAGCATATTCCACATGCCCTGGATACTTCTGGTCGGGACATGCCACTGATTTCCATCTGTGAGAACACACCCACTTCGTTCAGCTTCACTATGGGCACCCACAGGTTTGCTGTGATGTTTTTGTAACACACAACTCCATGCCAGAAGCAAGAACACGGGCTCATACTACCTGAAATCTGGTCATACATCAGATCTACATTCTGCTTCTTCCTCTCTAATAGATAAAATGCAGTAGAAAGACTGATTCAGCCTTCTTTTTTTGCCACAAGAAAATAATCCTGTAAGACTGACTTTCAATGTGGCTTTCGTAAAGCCACATTGAAAGTCAGTCTTACAGGATTATCTCAACAATGTTTCCTATATAAAACAAGTAGTTGGTAGTTACTTCTTTAAAAATGTTTAGCGTATCACTAGCAATGTGTGATGTGCAACATACCCCTTTCCTGTTGCTTTCAGCAGATTATTAACCATTTTATAATCTTCATTTAGCTGGTTCTTCAGACGTAACACTCGACAACGTTCTACTACACACTCCTTACACAGTGCTTTCACTAAAGGAAAAGAAAGTAAATGTGCTTCATTCAGACTTCCTGTGAGCAAAGTACATCACTACTTCAAAACACAGACAAATTCTCAACAGCCTCACCAACTGACAATAGAGCAAAATGGCATACATTCAAAATTATTTGTGACCTAAAAGCAGGAATATTGTTATCTGCACAAAAAAGAAATGTTATAATGTGCTAAAACTACGCCATAAAGTTCAATATATTATAAAGTTTAGATCAAAATTTGTAAGATGGTAATCAAATAATGAAGGTTGGAGGGTGAAAAACACCTGCTAACATAAAGGTAGGTTTTCATGTGGAAGCCATCTTCCAAGCACAGAGTATTGAAAGGGAAAACGGAAGGGCAAGACTAAAAAGGCACAGACTCTAAAAGTCATTAACATATGATTAGGAGAAAGACTTTCCCATTGCGTGGTTTATTTACCATGACTCTGGAACAGAAATCTAGAGAGCAAAACTGTAAGAAGGGCTGACGCATGTAGTTAAGTGCAAATTTTAATGCGTAAGTTATAAAGGAACAGAGAACAGTATGGAAATATGGTAATGGAAACGGAATTTCCTTAGCGGCCTCCACAGATTGAAGAATGCCCTGTTGCTAGTTATTCATCAACAATAAAAATATTTAAAGACAGGGAGCCAGAACCAAACAGACTACGGATATATACAGCTGCATGTATTCAAGATAGAATCCAGAATCCAACAGCTTCCGTTTATAAAGAAAAGTATCAATCTGCAAGTTTTACACTGTAAGAAACTCCCATTAACCTGGAGGAACCAGAATTAGAATCAACAAAGGTCTTTGAGGAGTGTAAACCAAATCTTTCTTTCTTTTTCTTTCTTTATTTTTTTAAAGGCAGTTCTGTACCAAATTTTTCTTTAAAAAGTCCTATTAGGTATACTGGGGGAAGACAGCATGTGTGTCAACAACCAACCCTCCCTGGATCGCATTATTTGCTTATGTTCTACTCTACTTAGCAAATCCTTTCTGTAAAGTATATACCAACATTGGCCTAATCACCAGGATTTACATCAAATAACCATGAAGCCCACTCAGGAAGACCATGTGATGAAGACTTCATGCATTGATTTTTCTTTTTCTTTTGAGTCTCGCTATGCAGTTCAGGCTGGTCTTGAACTCAATATGAACGAGATATGTAGCCTAAGCTGGCCTCAAACCCATGGCAATCCTCGTGCCGCAACCAAGTGCTGGGATTACAGGTGTGTGTCACCACACCCAGCCTGCATTACTTTTTTGCATCACAGAAGTAAACATTTTGAATTACCAGTTAGTCTTGGACCACCTCCATATCTACTGTAGAAAATGTCTGCTGCATATTCAGAAATTCTCTTCATAATTGAGATTTTATCTGGATGAAGCTTGTCATGGGAGCACAGGCAAGCATGATTATCAATAGGCTTGGTAGGTGTCGATTCATCCAACCACTTCTGCAGCCATTCAAGAGAGACAAACTCATAGGGCTCTGAGGAAGAAAGTGATGAAAAAAACTATGTATTTTTACAGTTTTGGGGCCAAGTGATACAGTCATTTTCCTCAGACAATACAAACTCTATCCAGTTAGCAGAACCACAAGAACCATTGTTCAAAGATGTCTGATGAGTGTGACAGAAAGCCACTGGGTCCAGGGACTGTGCATGGTAGCAAGTCTGCACAATGCCCTACAGGACCGGCTGGTATTATTAACCACATTCTACAAGACGCATCCACAGAGAGAAGTGTCTTGCTTGACAGTGGAGCAGAGCTTTGATCCGGACACCGTGTTTGCTGAATACGAGCCATGCTCCACGCTGGCTCGAAAAATCTCACAACCTCATCTCCTATTATGTTTATGCTATAAATTATTTTCATTTACACTTTCCACAAACGTGATATACCTCTGAAAATTAAAATGAGAAGCAAAAATGAGATTGACTCTTAAAATCAACCTACTCAGCTGAAACCACGTCATTTCTGCCCATTTTAACCACTGAACTTTTCTGTATTGAAGATGTTCATGATGTTGAATTGTTTTTTGTTTTTTGGTTTTTTTTTGAGACAGGCTCTATGTCATTCAACCTGGCCTTTTTCTCTAAGTGACCCTCCTGCTTCAGCCTCCTTTACAGGTGTGCCGCCATGCCCAGCAATGTGAAATAAATTATTTACTCCCCCACCCAATTCCAAGTCATGATCTAGTCACCTCATTATTATTTATGTCAAGATAGTAACTTGTTTTACACAGTTCCAAAATGAAAAACTAGAACTGAGTTATTACCTATTTTGAAGCTGTAAAAATTAGAAGACAAAAACAATTCAAAATGGGTTTTTAATTTTGGAAAAGGGAATCCCAGAGTTCTCTAAAAGCCAAAATTAAAGATAAAGGGACAGCTTTGATTACTTACAAAGATCTCCAGTGAGTCCCAGCATAAAACATAGAAGAAAACATACAGAGGTTGAATTTATGGATTTGTACTATGCACTACTTCCGCTGAGTTCTGAGACAGATACTTCAGTGCAAAGACCATCTGGACCCATTTTACACTGAGTTACGTGTCTAGAAAACTCCCATTTTCACTTAATGAAAGCGATTTTTCAACTTTTACAAAACAAATTTTGGAACTCTCAACCCATGTCTGTGCTAAAAAGGACATCCAAGGGCCCTCAACTCAGCAGCTCTAAGGAGCCTCACAAGACAAGCACAAAGCTGCCAGCAGAGAGCAACGTCTAATCCAAGTTCTGCCACCAAGAACTAAATTTGAGCAAGTCACTTAAACTCTATGCTTCAGGTCTTTTTCTCTGTAAAATGAAGGTAATAATACCTGCCTTCTACCTACCTCACAGGGATGTTGTTGAGTATAAAAGATAAGATATGTGAAGCATTTTGAGCTTTTTGGAAGAAAAGAGATACAGAAAAGTTAATTATACATTAACAGGTAAACAAAAGAGGAAGCCCTAAGAAGCAGTACAGAAAACAAGGTTGTGGCATCTTACAGTATTTCATGGTACGGTTAATTACATTCAAAACACCTCCTGGTTTTATTTGCCAATTTTCAAGTTTAATGTTCAGGGCCAGAATACATTGGGTATCTGGAAAACTATGATAAATGATCCCTGTCTGAGAACAAATAAAATCTTTTCTTTTCCCAAGTACAGTGACACGAATTAAAACTTGGAATCATCTGCATACTCAAAGGTCAGAAAATAGGATTATGAAAAAGCAACATTCAAGAGTAACTCACTAGGTGTTTGCGTTTCTCCAGTGGCTTTGGAAGGGTGAAAAAGAGGCCAATGCTTATCGGTGCTAACTAAAAAAATAAGCCCTATCAACCCCATTCTTATAAGGAAAGCAGTGTAGGAAAATGAATGTGGCTAAGGCACTCCTACAGGAACTGACCCACTGAACAACAATGGGACTCATAGATAAACGCAACGCTCTCCTGTCCCATTAGAGTGTTACAGAAAACTTCCAAGTGAAACTCGTTGTTTGGTTTTTAAATAGGTTAAAAAAAACTATGAATTCAATATAAAATGCAAGGATTACACAAATCATGTATCATTTTATAGTCAGAGGAAAGATTAGAGCAGAGAGTGGGTCCACAATTCTATCTAACACCATACTCATCAACTTAACCACTGTCTCAATTTTTATTTTATTGCCAGATTATATTTGGTGGGGGACCCATGGAAGAAAGGGTGGTCTGGGGTTAAGCACAAGGACTTACTTGTAGCAAAATTTTTACACTACTGATGTATAAAATCAGGTCCTAAGTCAGGACAATCATGGTACCAAAACATTTGAAACACTATCAAGAGACAAGTGAAACATGTCTCAATTTAAATATTAAAGGCCAAAAGGATTCGTGTTCCCTGTGATAGATTTTTACAGTGAATAGCTCTTCTTTCTTTAAGTTCACAAAATGAAATTTAGAAAATGCATTATCAAAACACTGGCTTCAAAACTATGGTCACTGACTGAGATTTTATAATAGGACAGCACAGGTTTGCCATGCTGTAAAGTTTACGGCAGATTGAAAAATTATAAAGTTCACGGTTGAGAAAAGTATAAATACCACAGAAATAAGTCTATGAAAACAAGCACAGGTTCTTACACACTAAATGAAAAAACCACCAGAAGCACAGTGCTACTTTGCCAAGTAATGTCATTGGGCCACATTATTCACAAGAGTATTTGCTTTTTGTTTGTAGGACACTAGGCTCCGATCCAGGGTCTCATGCAAGGTATGCAAGTCATCTACCACCAGCCCTGAGACCAGCATCTTTCTTTTTATGACCTATACAACCCTTTTCTCTTGTGCAGAGTAAGAAACTGGATAAAGTTCAGAAAGTAGAGCTGGGCTTAGTGGCACGTGCCTGTAATCTCAGCACTCTGGGAGGCTAAGGCAGGAGGATCGAAAATTCAAGCCCTGTGCAACCTAGCGAGACTACCTTGGAAATATTTCAACAGGTCTGTAGATTAACTCAGGGGATGGACCTGGGTTCAATGCACAGTAACAGTAGTAATAAAAAATCAAAAGTTCAGAAACCAGATTCCTAGGCCCCAGTTCCTCTGAACAAAGGCGTATAAATATAGATGAGAATAATGGATTAATTCCAAATCATTTCTTATTAAATTAAGGTCAATCTAATTTTTTAGAACAATTGTGACCCTTGAATACAGTTAGAGTAGCACTTACAAAGGGTCAGAATCAAATTAAGACTACATTTGGAAAGAATTTCTTCCTTCCTTCCTTCATCTACAGTACTTGCAGTGCTGGGGATTGAATCCAGTGCCTTAAGCATGCTAATCATGCAGTCTACCAGTAAGCTAAACCCTTAGCCTTTAAAAAGAATTTCTAAGAGCTATGCTTACATATTTAGCAATTTACAGTCATCTTTGGTTTAAAGTTTTACCTGTAATAAAAAATTAAGATATCAAAAAGACAAAAACCACAAGTACAGTTATGCTTGAATATTTATTATCTAACTTAGGTCTAAATTGCCTCTTTTGTAAACAAGACTGAATTATGGGGAATCCATGCCTGTGAAATGACAAATAACTTCTTGTAACCACAAATAAATCAGCCTTAAAAATAACCAGTTGATTTGTTTTTGTTTTTCTGGAGACACTAGATAAACCTAAATACAGTAAAAGAATGTGGAATAATTCTAAGAATTGGGGACGAGCGACAGGGTCTTTATATTCTTACGGTAACACTTGATACTAAATCTCAAATTAATCTGAATGTACCAAAATTATGCTCCTATGAAAGCATGGCTGCTAGTACAATGCAAAAACAGACCGGGCAAGTTGCTCCCATTGTCATCCAATCAGGTTTGTCCTGAGAAACAAGTCAGAATCGACAAAGTGGAAAAATCTACTAGAGTCACAAGCAGAGTGCTAATCTAAGCTAAGCCTTGTAATTTATTAACAGCATCCCATTTTTAAAAGTACATAATAAATATTATGTGGAATGTTACACACCAAATTATTGCTGTTTTACACAGTGATTTTATCATGGATACCTATACACTTAGTGGATTGTAGGAAAAAGTTTGTCCGTACATATTTTTTGTGAGCACAACAAACAAGGCAGTTAATGGCAACAGTGCTGTCCCAGAATATCTTACAGACCAGCTCCAGCAGGTAACCTTTGGTACAGCTCCTTAACCTCTTCATGCTTTGCTTTTCCTTTGTCCACACTCTGTTTACGCATCTCGGCCATTTCAACACACCACTCCTCAAACTTGGAATTATCTCGATCCACCAACTCTTGAAGAAAGGCTACGCAGAAGAAAATAAAATGAAAAACATTTTTACCTCATGTCAATCTTATGGCACATGGGCTAAGACTGTGGTGGCACCTTCTTGCTATGCACAGTATTCTCTAAAAACTTAGGTTGTTCCTCCTACCTCCTACCTCTCCATGGCAGCCGTTACCCAGACCAGCAAAGGCCTGAGACGTACCATCTTCAAACAGCTTGGAATGCTGGCAAGCTAGGTGACCACACAGAGACCATCTTTGGGTCAGTGCAACTCGTCATATAAACTGAACAAAATGACATCACATGTATCGACTACCTTTGTGATTTTAAAAAATGATGTTTGAACTACTTTGGAAGAAATGGCATAGTTCCAGAAATGGAAATAAAGGCTCCTTTATTTCTAAAGCTCACTATGTTAAAACAAATGTGATTAGTACTCACTTCCACTCACATTTCTCATGTGTAATCAACCTGTCATAATGAAAGCAATCTGGTGCTTGTCATTAACCTGAGCATGGCATTCCAAAATATTTGCCTAGCTGGGTGTGGTGGGTGGCGCCTGCTTATAATCTCAGCACTTGGGAGGTTGTGAGTTCGAGGCCAGCCTGGGCTACAAAGTGAGCTCAAGGCCAGCCTGAACTGCACAGTGAGACCCTGTCTCAAAAAGACAAAAACAAAACAAAAAAAAAACCCAAAAACTAAAATATTTGCCTGGTGTTGTCCTCAAAAACACACTACCTGGAACTTCCACCGTCGTGTTGGGCTTCTCTTGGCTTTGCAGTCTGTAAACCAACATATACGCATTTCGCGAGCAATGAGTCCCTTTGCCACACTTGGGTCTGCGTGTCTGCGACTTTGAGGGTTCCGCTGGGGTAGAGAAATCAAAACACAATTTAACTACAATGCTCAAACTTCCTTCATCTGGCGGGGAGGAGGGGGCATGAAAGACACTATCTAAAATATATAAACAAGGACTTGAACATGGACCCAATTATTAAAGTGTGCTGGCCACCCTTGTCTGCCACACTTCATTTTTAAGAGAGGAGAAATACTGCACTTCATGAGTTGATTTTTAATATTAGTCCTGAATTTCAAACACTGATTCAGACTAACATAATCATTAAGAACAGGAGACTATAACCTTGGAAATGTTTTTACCTTAACATGAGCAGCCTGGTAAACAACCACTTGTTTTTAAATAAAAGAACATACATTGTGAATGTACAAATGTTTTATTTTTTTGAAACAGGGTCTCATGAGGTTACAGACATGTGCCGCCAAGCCCCACCCATTTTTGGGAGACTGAGCCTCACGTCTTGGTTCAGACTGGCCATGAACTCACTATGCAGCCCAGGCTTGCCTTGAACTTGTAGCAACCCTCCTGCCACAATCTCCGGAGGGTTGTGATGATAAGCATTTGCCACCTTGCCCAGCTTGTGACACATGTGTATTTCAATACAATACTCTTAAAAGAGTAATGCTGAATAGCCGGGCATGGTGGCGCACGCCTGTAATCCCAGCACTCTGGAGGCTGAGGCAGGAGGATCGTTGCCAGTTCGAGACTAGCCTGGGCTACAAAGTGAGCTCAAGGCCAGCCTGAACTGCATAGCGAGACCCTGTCTCAAAAAAGACAAAAAAAACCCAAAACAAAGAGTAATGCTGAAGTTTCAATATTTACATTTTATTGTAAGCTACATTATGTGGAGCTGCTTAACACTTTCTCAATGGGGTGGTCAATTCATGTCTCACTGTTGGACGGCAGGTGGGGTGGCTTATTAATTTTATTAGTAAAAAGACCAGCAATACTGATAGGTCTGTTGTACCACCAGGGGTTCTAGCCAGTAGGTAAACCAAGTCCTACTTCTTCATGATTTAAAGTTACTTCTCAACTTTGTTCTTAGTGAAGAATAGCACTTGAATTAATGGGAAGATAAACAGGCTGGTCCCACTGACCTCAGTGCCTGGGCCACCAGCCTACCACATTCTCACTGAAAATGAATTACCTCTAACAATGTCCACTAAAGAAACTACTTTATTCATACAATGGGGTATTGCTTAACGATTTTTTAAAAAACTGCTAACAGGCCGGGCATGGTGGTGCATACCTGTAATCCCAGAACTGGGGCGGCTGAGACAGGAGGACCAAGATTAAGGCCAGACTGAACTACATGGCAAGACCCTGTCTCAAAAAATAAAGAGCCATGGTAGGACACATGTACCTAGGGCTGTCCTATCAAGACTTCATACTCTGTCTAAAAACAGGTATGGGGGAAAAACGGTGAAATGCTCAGCTGAGATGGCCTTAACTGGAAGAAGTGTCCACCTTTTGGGAATTCTATGCAGGACAAAGTGAGTTGATGAGAGCTTTGCAAAAGGATCTCATTCGAGAAAGCTGTTCGTGACAGCCTTCAGCAATACACACAAGCAGGCAGAGCCTCCCAGAGGCCCTCCCTACACTCTAGAGGAGGCACTGTCTCACAGCAACGCTCTCCTAGCGAGCTGTTTTGCTGTATCAAATTCCCTGACCTGGGAAAAAACACTATAAATCTTATTATCACTGGGCAAGGTGATACACACTTATACACCAACATGAGGGAGGCTGAGGCAGGAGGATGGTGGCAGACTGAAGCAGGAAGAATGAGTTCAAGGCCAGCCTAGACTAAAAAGTGGGATCAGTCAGGCATGGTGATGCACATCTGCAATCCCAGTGCTTGCAAGGCTGAGAGGAGAGATCACCGAGTTGGAGGCCAGCCTGGACTACATAGTAAGACTGTCTTTTAAAAAAAAAAAAAAAAACAGGCTAGGTATGGTGGCACACACCTGTAATCCTAGCACTTGGGAAGCTGAGGCAGGATGATCGTTGAGACCAGCCTGGGCTACAAAGTGAGCTCAAGGCCAGCCTGAACTGCATACCAAGACCTGTCTCAAAAGGACAAAAAAAAAAAAACTAAACTAAAAAAAAACCCTGTTAGATAAAATGTACTACTCATCATTGTTTGCTTATTGTGGTGTTTTCCCCTTTGCCAGGAAAGATAAGCCTGGTGACTGGAAAGTGATCATTTACCTTCAAGCTTTCCTGAAAGCATGACATTATGATACTGCAACAAAATAATTTTTAACGTAAACACTATTAAAAGATATTCAACAATTTTATGTGTTTAAGAAATGTACATATCTTGGATTGCCGGGAGCGATCCTGGGGCATACTAATACATCATAAGTATTTCTGGCTTAAAAAATTTGTATTTTAAAAGGGCACTCACAACTTAAAGGTTTTACCTAGATCTTCCTCAATCCCTAATTGTAATTTCTTCCCCTCCATCTTTTCTATGTCTTCATCATTAAACTTGTACCATTCGCCGGACTGTGGGTCTTTCACGTGGGCGATGTAGTGTCCGGAGTAAGCGCTCACGCCTCTGTGTATAAGGACGGCACTGAGCTCATACACGTAGGACCCACCTGAAGGAGGACAGAGAACGTGGGAAAGAAATTGCAGGTAACAATACGTTTATATCCTGACAATGAACATTCCCGAACACAATTTTTTTCATTACTTTTTTTTGTGGTGCTGGGGATCAAACCCAGGGCCTTGGGTATGCAAGGCAAGGGCTCTGCCACTGAGCCACATCCCCAGTCCTTTCTTCACTTTTTTTTCTCCAAACACAACTCTTTTACACGCCTGATAAAATTCAAAACATGCCACCTAAGGCAGAAAACTTTCATTTTCACAAAATATTAGGGATGCATCCCTGTAAACAGCTTATCACTGAATCTCCATCTCCTCTACAGTTATACTGGTGGTAGCTACAGTACTCTGACCGGGCACTCAGGGGTGCTAACCTGACTACATCAGCCTCGCACCTGGAAAAACTATTGAGCCGTGTGTTCACAAGAACCGACCATCATATTCTGTCACAGAACTAATTACAATGCCAGGCATGGCGGCACAGGCCTATAATCCCAGCATTCAAGAAGCCGAGGCAGGGAGGAAGATCCCTTCTTCAAGTTCGAAGCCAGGCTGGACTACATTGCTAAATTCTGTCTCTAAACTAAACTAAACTAAATTAAAATAAAATAAAATAATATCAAGAAAAGTAACCAGGTAAGTTGGCATAGGACTATAATCCCAGCACTCGGGAGGCTGAAGCAGGGTCATCGCTGTGAGTACGAGGCCAGCCTGCACTACAAAGTGAAACTGTCTCAAGAATAATTGATTACAACTTATACAAACTAACTAGATGAATGTAAAATGAAAAGCTACTGTAATTAGAGAAAGGCAGACATTTTAGAGGGAAAAAAAGCAGGAGTTAGGTCATCAAGAAAAACTGCTTTCAAAACTGGTGTACAGGTCAGCAGTGGCTGCTCCTGTAACCCAGCACTCTAGGAAAATTTAGCAAGAGGATCAGAACCTCCAGCGGAGCCTGTGAAATTTAGCAGGGTTCCCTCAAAATAAAGTAAATGTGGGGACACACAGTTCAGTATGTAAAAACCATGGATTCAATCCCCTGTGCTACAAATAAACATAAAAAACAGGTGTGATTTATACACCATGGCAAAGGGTTCAAACTTCCATTTGTACGATGAGACTTAAAAAATAGCTACATAACCATAAAAAAATCATTTTACAAAATGTACACCTTACTAGATTGTATATACCTCAAGATCATGCCAACTTTTCTCATGTTATGCTTCATTAAAGCTGGAAAAAATGTAGGCATAGCCAAGAAAATTAGGAAAGGTAGGACAGGTAACACTAAAAATCTACAATGGTTCCATACTTGGATTTCTTTAGATGGTTTGGCTTGTTCTGGTTTTTTTGAGACAGTCTCACTATGTAGTTCAGGTTGTCTTTGAACTCATTACATAGGTGAGACCAGTCTTGAACTAAAGGTGATCCTTCTGCCTCAGCCTCCCCAGTACTGGTATTACAGGTGTACATCACTACTGGCTTGTTATTACTATTTTACAACCTTGAGTCATGTTGAAAAAAACAAAGCCTGGGCTGGGGATTTAGCTCAGCAGCATAGCGCCTGCCTGGCAAGCACAAGGTCGTGAGTTCGGTTCCCAGTCCCAGAAACCACCACCCACCCCCTGCCAAAAAAAACAAAGCCTACAAATCACAGACTACATATTATACACGTGATTTGCAAAAATGGACATATCAAAATACTGGCATAATGAACAAGCAAGTAAAGATAGAATGTTTTAGACTCTCGGGAAAAAAAATTTTCAGATAGGATCTCGCTATGCAGTTCAGGCCAGCCTTAAACTCACTATGTAGCCAAGGGTGGGTTTGAACATACAATCCTCCTGCCTCAGCCTCCCAAAATTCTAGGATTACAAGTATGTACCAGCATGTACAGCTAAGCACAAGATTTTTTTCTCTCTAAAAAATTAGCCTCCTTCAAAGATGAAGACTGAAGAATGAAGCAGTAGCTGGGCATGGTGACACATGCCTGTAATCCCAGCACTCTGGAGGCTGAGGCAGAAGGATAGGCCGTCAGCCTGGCTGGAGTTCAAAATTAGCCTGAACTACACACAGTGAGGTCTTGTCTCAAAAAATAAATGAAACAGTAATTATTTAACGTAGAAATAACAACATAGCCAGGTGTGGTGGCATACACCTATAATCCCAACACACGGGAGGCTGAGGAAAGAGGACTGCCAAGTTTGACGACAACCTGGGCTACATAGTGAGACCCTCCCCGCCCCCCCCAAAAAAACACCTAAAAAACAAAATAAAAACCTTGACACCGCATCCTAGGGTATACCTGTGGATAGAAATATGAAGAATTTCAGCATCATTATTGCCAGTGTTTCTGACAAACTTTTTAAATGTCAATGGCGAGAGGAAGTTTGAGTAGTAGAGTGCATACTTAGCATGTGTAAGGCCCCAAATTCTATCTCCAGTGTCAATAAAGCACACAAAAAAAATGAATATAGGTAGACTAGAACTCAATGAGAGCTGCCCATGGTGGCGCACGCCTATAATCCCATCACCGGGGAGGCTGAGGCAGGAGGATTGTTGCAAATTCGAGACCGGCCTGGGCTACAAAGTGAGCTCAAGCAAACTGAACTGCATAGTGAGACCCTGTCTGGAAGGAAGGAAGGGGGGAAGGAAGGAAAGAGAGAGAGATGGAGAAGAAGGAAGGAAGGGAGTGAGGAGAGGAGGGAAGGAAGGAAGGACAGACTGACAGACAGAAAGAGAAAGATCTAATCTTTGTTTCACGTTTACTCACAGAAAACTGACACATCTTCTTTCACCTGAGAAGCCCTTTCCCCCAAGATCAGCAAATGGAAACAGCAGTAACTGTTGCTCTATACTCATCCCAAGTAGATCACAGGTTAGTCTTGAACACTGTGATTTCTTTCTTTGATAGAAACATTACCTTTATGTTCCACGTAAGGTTCCATATCCAAAATCTCGGAGAAGCCTATGTAGGCATTCAGCTTTTTCTTATGTCCAGTTTGCCTAATCAAGAGGTAAAGTCATTATATTTCTATTTAAAACAATCAGAGAACAATGTGTAAACTCTTCAGTTTTTTTTGTTTTTTAATTTAAAGTTCGCCGAGCAGTTTAGGCTGGCCTTGAAACTCACTATGTAGCCCAGGGTAGCCTCAAGCTGGCAGCGATCCTCCTGCCTCACATCCACAATACTAGGATTTCAGTGTTTTTTAAGAGACTCAACAGGAGCTAGACTTCACTGAGCAATGTTCTGTAAAAATGTGTATGCTTAAACAATACAATTTTGTGACTGCTAACAGTATTTAACAGGTTAAAGGGTACGAGAAAAACACTAATTCTTTAGAATCGTAGAACACATGCAAAACTACTGTGATTTTAATTGTGTGATTAAAGATATACTCTCACAAAGGTGCAAATATTGAAATAAGTACAAATTTATTCTACTTCAAATATACAATAAGATAGAATGTCAAAGTAATTCAGTTCCTGGCATGATTTAATAATTTCTTAAACTAATTCCCTACTTTTCTAGTTCTCAGTTGTGTAGAGCATGGAAGAGAAGAAAAAAAAAAAAGAAAAAAAAAAAAAAATCACAGGCTCCCTCTATAACTTTCTTTTTCAAATCCAGTTTCAAATTCTAGGGGGCTGGGGATTTAGCTCAGCGGCACAGCACCTGCCTGGCAAGAGCGAGGTCGTGAGTTCGATTCCTGGTACCGGAAAAAAACAAACAAACTCTAATCAGCTGTGTCTGGGATATACCTCAGTGGCACATCACCTGCCTGGCAAGCACGAACTCCTAAGTTCCATTTCTGGTAGCAATAAATAAATAAATGATTCTAATCAGCTGATCTCACCTGCTTATGGCAAATCTATGCGTTTTAGTTCACGGTGAACATCAAGCCCTACTACTTACACAAACTTACCTGTCAAAGACGAAACGCATCAGCTGCAAGTTCAGGGTGCAAGGGAGGCTGAGAAGCCGAATCTTCCTTGTAGCATTCTGTTTGCTTTGACAATTTTCACAGAAGTATCGATTGTCTCCTTCTAATTTTTCTTCCTGATCAAGAATAAGACATATTAGTTTTCGAAAGCAAAGGGTGGAAGATTTAGAACAAGCAATAAACCCTGATGTCAGGTTTCATTTCCTTTCATAACTAGCCCCCTCCCCAGCAACGGCTTAAATTCAAATCCCTGCATGAATTAACACTCACAAGATTACAGGTACTTCTTCGCTGTTACACAATCAATTTGTATATAACACTACCTAAAAATCAAGATGCCTATTTCCAAAATCTATGCTTTAAAAAAAGTTAAGCAGATTTGAAAAGAACTCTTACACATACTTTTTTTTTGAAGGTCTCGCTATGTAGTTCAGGCTGGCCTTGAATTCACTATGCAGCCCAGGCTGGCCTCGAACTCGCAACGATCCCCCTGCCTCAGCCTCCCGAGTGCTGGGATTACAGGCGTGCACCACCACGCCAGGCTTCCCACATACTTTTATGTCAAATTAATTTTAGAACAAAGAAACCACATGGAAATGTGTATACTTTGTTTAAATGGATGTATCATATTCATGGGTTAAAAGAGCATAGAGAAATCCAACGCAATAGCTGACAATGATTTAAAATTTTTCCTTTCTGTAGCAGCTCCTGTTCAAAGTCGTATGCAGTAGTCGAACTACCACTTCCTAGTGGGGACTTCCTGGATATCACACTCCTTTCCCTTCCTCCTACTCACTGGCCATTCCCCATAAGCCTGCCTTGTTCCTATCTCCCTCACCACTTCCGGGTTCAGTATCTAGCTCTTGTCCTTCTCCATTCCCTTTCTTTTTTGCGTGGGGGGGCGGGTCTTTTTGAGACAGGGTCTCGCTATGCAGTTCAGGCTGACCTTGAGCTCGCTTTGTAGACCAGGCTGGTCTCAAAACTCTCAACAATGCTCCTGCCTCAGCGTCTCTGCCCCAGCCTCCAGAGTGCTGGGATGACAGGCGTGCACCACCTCAACTTTTATCTTTTTATCCTCCATTCTCTTTTGAATGTTAAAGCCCTCAGCTGGGTGTGGTGGCACACGCCTGTAATCCCAGCACTCAGGAGGCTGAGGCAGGAGGATCACAGAGTTCAAGGCCAGCCTGGGCTACAAAGTGAGAGCCTGTCTCAAGAAGACAAAAAAATAAAAAATAAAAAATAAAAAAGGAAGGTTAAAGCCCTCACTTGACCCCCTTGAACTTCACCTTTCAAAGGGAAGAAGCTCAAAGCCAAACGTTTTCTCTTTTGTTGTAGTGCTCGTAAGTCCTCCACCACTGAGCTACCCTCAGCCTGAACTTTGTAATTTCTCCCTAACCCTGCTCCTCCTGGTGGTGACAACTCTATTCTACCTTGTTATGCCACAAAATTCCGGAATCCTTGACTCCTCTTTCTCCTTACTTGGCACACACATTTTACTACCTTTACTCTGGAAATACCTATCTAAAAGCCAAACACTATGCTATGTGGCTCTTTGGCTAGCCCTTAGTCCAGGTTACCACGCAACCTTTGGTCTGCCCTTACTTAGTCCTTCTTTTTCAACCAATTTTTACAACAGTGCACACAACTGTCCCCTTACGGCAATTGTATTGCTCTTATGCTTATAGCCCTTCTAGTTCCTCAATCAACTTAGCATAAAGCCAAGCTCAGACAACCCTGTCGTGACATAGCCTGTCTGCCATGGCCCTTAGCTACCTGGACTACTCATTTTCAGCATCCTAACCTTGCTTACTCACTTTAAGCATATTTGGCCCTTGATTTCTCTAACCACAGAGGTCCATTCTCCTCTCAGGCTCTGTACTGAGCGTTTCACCTGCTCAGAATACCCTTCCTCCTGGGTGTTGAATGGCTCACTCTTTATTTTATTTTATTTTTTTGTCTTTTTGAGACAGGGTCTCGCTATGCAGTTCAGGCTGGCCTTGAGCTCACTTTGTAACCCAGGCGGGTCTTGAACTTGCAAAGATCCTCCTGCCTCAGCCTCCCAAGTGCCGGGATTACAGGCGTGCGCCACCACGCCCGGCTCTGGCTCACTCCTTTACATGAAATCATTTTTAATTGCAGTATTCCTCCTTCTCATCATCCTCCCCAGCCTGTCCCCTCAAAGCACGCTCATAGCACTTAGTGTAACTGACACACTATGGATCTCATACATATTTATTCTACTGACCTTCCCAGGTACCCACAAAACTGTACTGTAAGCTCCATAGAGGGTTACTTTATCTTTTTATCCTCCCCAACAGCTCAAATGGTACTTGGTACAAGCACTCAAAGTGTTTAGATGAATAAATTCAAGATTGCTTCACGTATGGTTAACAGAATTGCTAAGAGTAGGATAAGCACAAAAATATTGACAAGAAGCTGTGCATTAAAGTTTTATGCTATGTGTTCATACTTGATAGCAAATGTTTCTGGCAAATCTAAATACACAGAAACTAGAAGCAAAATGGAAGAGGTTAAGACGAACACATGGATATAAAAAATTTTTGCATTTAATGCATTATAGTTCTCATTACATGAGAAGATGAATTAGTTTTTTACTAACAGACCTTAGATTCCATTAAACACTCTACTACTCCTACTCAGACACACACAATTTCACATATGAAGTTACAACTGCCAAAAATTCAGATGCGACCTGCTTCAGTACTTTAGTTCCTTTTATATCAATATGCAGTTCTTACTTCACGAACGCTAAAATAATGGATTTATACATTACACAATACCACTCAGAATAATATTTAATTATTAATGAACAAAATCAATACATATACTAAGATTCAAGTACCTTTAAAAATTCTGAGATACAATCTGTTAACTGTTTGTGGCCTTGGATATTTAGCTCCAGTTCATAGAACTTTGATGACAGCTTAGATTCTCTGCCACACTGATTGCAACTACAATAAAAAGAGCAATAAAATTAAGATCACAATGAAAAAGACAATCACATTCTATTATTTACATCCTACCAAAGATGGGAAAAAAGCTGGGCATGGTGTTACATGCCTGCAATCCCAGCACTTGGCAGACTGAGGCAGGAGGATCACTGCAAGTTCAAGGCCAGCTGGGGCTACAAAGTGAGCTTGAGGCCAGCCCGAATGCATAGAAAGACCCTGTCCCAAAAAGACCACAAAAAAAAAAAAAAAGGATGAGGAAAAAAAAGCATTTAAAATCTTAGTTTGGTGCATGCCTATAATCCCAGCAACTGAAAGGCTGGGACAAGCGGATTGCCACAAATTCAAGGCCAGCCTGGACTACACAGTGACAGCCTGTCTTCAAAACAACAAAATAAAAACTTAGTTGGTTTTCACAAAAATTATTTACACTACACACAAAAATGAAAATTTAGCCAGGCTTTTGGTGGCCTAGGCCTGTAATCCCAGCACTTGGGAGGCTGAGGCAGGAGGATCATTGCAAGTTCAAGGGCAGCCTGGGCTACAAAGTGAGCTCAAGGCCAGCCTAAACTGCACAGGGAGACTCTGTCTCAAAGACAAAACAAACAAACAAAAACCAGAAAATTTAAGAAGTGTTTGGTGAAACCACATATCTTATACCTGGGAAACTTTCAAAGAGATGCTCTGTTTAGTATTCTACCTGGTTTCAATCTTATTTTTTCAACTCACAATATACTGCTATAAAAGAAATGGCAAGATTTCAACAAAACATAGCTCCCAACACCTGGATGGGTAAAACTGCAGTGATCAAGTTGGGTTGTTTACATGTTCCCATGGAAATGTGTTACTATGAGTATTTCAGGACCCTTGATAACCCGCCAAACCTGTAACTTCGAAAAGAACTGAAGGGCCAGGGATATAGCTCAGCAGCACAGAGCCTGCCTGGCAAGCGCAAGGTCCTGAGTTCAATTCCAGGTACCAAAAAAAAAAAAAAAAGGAACTGAAAACTAGGCACCATATGGGCAACTATCTTAGAGTACAGTGTACCATGAAAAGGCTGAAGTACTTACACAGTTACATAAGCATATTCCCCACAGAACTGCTGCTGCACAATGTTCTGTACATCTGGATTCTTCTGTTTAGACAAAGTATCTTCCAATAGAGACATAAACAGCTTTGAAAATTCCTGAGCATCCTACACATGTAGATTAATGAGAAAGAAAAATTGTATCTTGCTTCTCAATCTCTAAAACAAATAGCAATCTCCTTTCCAGAAACTATCTGCACTTTCTTTGTTTTTTTTTTTCTTTTTTCTTTTTTTGGTCTTTTTGAGGCAGGGTCTTCCTATGCAGTTCAGTCTGGCCTTGAGCTCACTTTGTAGCACAGGCCGGTCTCAAACTTGCAGAGATCCTCCAGCCTCAGCCTCCCAAGTGCTGGGATTACAGGCATGCGCCACCACACCCAGCATTATCTGGGCTTTCAACTTCAATACAGCATTTTTCTGAATAAGGACTACAGGTATGTTGACCCATTCTGCATCCACACGTCAATTTTCAGAAATGAGGAGGAGATTAATGCATAACAAACTAGATAGTAAATAAAGGCTCAAACAATTCAGAACAGAAAAACAATTTTTCCAAAGGATCCTACTTCATCTTCCTTCACAGACACTGTAAGGAATACTTGAGTATCTTTGAATTCTTCCTTTTAAAAGAAAAGTTCTGGGCCGAGGATGTAGCTCAGTGGCACAAGCGCCTGCCTAACAAGCGCAAGGTCCTAAGTTCGATCCCTGGTACCAAAAATAAAGAAAGAAAGAAAGAAAGAAAAGAAAAGAAAAGTTCTTACCTGTTGCTGGCCAGTGTCTAAGCCCAAGGCTTTAACAAACCCTGATGGGTCAATGTATCGTCTGTTACTGTTTTGCAACAAAGCAAATAAGTACTGGAGATGCTCGCAAATAGTCTGAGGTTCATAATCTATTAAAAGAGAAATGTGGTTTTTTGCAGAGTTGTTACTTTTTAAAATTCCTACTTCTTTTTCACATGACAACATAAATAAGCACCCTTTCATTCAAACTACACTGTATGTCATAGTTTTAAGACTATGAGAAACAGAGCTGGCCATCTTTTCTAAAACAGGGCCACCAGAGCTGTATGTACACAACACCTAAAGACTAGAGGCTACGCACTGTGCATGCGGAGTATACTATCATGATAACCCTTTCACCGAACACTGAAACATCACTCCTAGTAAGAACCACACCACAGGGCCGGGGATATAGCTCAGTGGCCAGGGATTTAGCTCACTCAGTGGCACATCGGCTGCCAAGCAAGAGTGTCGGGTGAGAGTGAGGTTGTGAGTTCGATTCCTGGCACCACCACCTCCAAAAAAGAACCACACTGACCTCTGCATAAGAGAATTGAATATGTTCAAAACATCTTATTAATCTGGGTTTGCCACAAACCAAACAATTAAAAGGTAATCTCAAGCACAGCCATCCACTGGTCTTTGCCTGTTCTGTGCTGAAACTCTTACAAGTATTTCTCCTCTGCCACCTGTGAGGTCAACCCTGTCAGTGCATGGTACCAGAGGGTCGAGTATGCCAGCTTTTACCAATTACCAGCCTCCGTGGGTCCATCTGTACCAAGGCTCCAGGTTCCTGCACTAACAGTGGCCAGCAGCTTCCCCCAGCACCTCCTCTGCCAGCCTCAAGCCCAGCACCTCCAATAAGACAGTCTGCGGTCACTGGACACCCTCTCAGGTAACTATGGAGGGGCTTCACAGGGCTAGCACCTTCTTACAGTTTCCAGCAAGGATCCCAGCAAGGTGTCTCCTCCCCGTTCCTCCTATCTGGGAATCCTTGCCATGGCATATCATTTTGTTAAAACAGAAATCTAGCTCTCACTTATGTTACTACCTTCTCATTATATATTCAAAATAATCCATTTCAGATTACTTCTATTTTTTTTTTTTTTTTTGGTACTGGGAATCAAACTCAGAACCTTGAGCTTGCCAGGCAGGCATTTATGCCACCGAGCTACATCCCCGGCCCTCAGATTACTTCTAAACTGTTACTTTACACACTTAGAGCCAGCATGGTGGCACACACCTGTCATCCCAACACTCATGTGCCTGAGCCAGGAGGACTGTCAGAAGTTTGAAGCCAGCCTGACCTACGTAGTAAAAGACTCTGTCTCAAAACCCCAAAAACAAAAAAGCCTACTAAATCAAGTATTAATCCAGATTTAAATATTCAGACCAGGCCGGGCCTGGTGGCGCACGCCTGTAATTCCAGCATTCGGGAGGCTGAGGCTGGAGCATCGTTGTGAGTTTGAGGCCAGCCTGGGCTACAAAATGAGCTCAAATAAATATTCAGATCCCCAAAAAATTCAGACCTATGGGAATAAAATTTTGAAGAAATATCCTCCAACCATAATACTAGGGGTTGAAACCCCAGATCTTTACACTGAGCTACAGTCTCCAGCCTTTTAATTTTGCTTTAGGGGGCTGGGGATTTAGCTCAGCGGCAAAAGCGCCTGCCTGGCAAGCGCAAGGTCATGAGTTCAGTTCCCGGTACTGGAGAAAAACAAACAAAAAAAAAAATTTTGCTTTGGACAGTGTCTCACTATGCTGCCCAGCCTAAACTGTTCAAGCCAGTCCCTGCCTCAAAAAAAAAACAAAAAAAAAAACAATAGCATCGGAGTTCCAGAGGGGAAGAAGGTGTTAAGTTCCCAACTTGGAGCCCCCAGATCTATACAATCTTAGAAACCTCCCCTTGAAAATGTGAAAATTCTGGTTCGTTCCATGAAAGCTCCAACTCAGTGGAAACCTCATAGTGGAAACCTCTATTTCAGATTTTTAAAGCAATGTTATCTGTAATGTGCACATTGGGCATGAAATAAAAATACGTAATGTTAGTGGAAACAGAAGCTGACCCTGTCCAAATTCACAGCAAGCACAACATTTTCATGGGTGATTTTGTCAGTTAACGAACTTAATCATAATCTTACAGAATTCAGTTAAGTCTGCTTATGTAGTGTATTTGGTAGTCAGCCCCAATGTGATTACCCTGAAATATTTATTAAGTCTCTCAACCTAGGCAAAAATAATAATTTTCTGCCTTATTGATTTTATCACTACAAATTAAGGAGCTATAACCAGAATATTACATAGAGAAACAGTCACTGTATAGTATACTAAGAACAAGCAAATGAGCTAGGCATGGTGGGGCACACCTATAATCCCACCAACTGGGAGGCTGAGGCAGGAGGATTGCTCTGAGCTTAAAGTCAACCTGGGCCAAACTGTGAGCTTAATTCCGGCCTGAACTACACAATGAAGAAACCCTTGCTTAAAAAAAAAAAAAAAAAAGAAAAAGAAAAAGAAAAAAAGAAAAAACAAGGAAGGGCTGGGGATATAGCTCAGGGGCACAAGTACCTGCCTTGCATACAAAGTCCTGAGTTTGATTCCCAGTACCTACACACACAAAAAAAAAACCAACTAAAAAACAAGCAAATATGTTTCCTTCATCTGAAATATTAGCTATTTTGGTGCAATATATGCAGGGGGCTTATCCTGTTAACGAAGAGCCTAGCATCCTTCCTGGCATGCAGTGAGCACCCTCGCTTCCCCCTTTGCAGTTGGCTCAGAAGTGTTCAAGCTGTCAACACACTCAGAGCCGAGCTCGCCCTTGCCCATCCCCACCAACCTTTCTCCTCCTGGACACCATCTCCCCTCATGTAGTCGCTGCAGGTGCTTGGACACAAGTACAGCGCCTGTCGAAGCTCCAGGTTGAGAAACCACACTTGAAGAAATGTGTTGACGTAACATGTGGCTCCGAGGTTTGTCAGGCCCACAAAGGAGTTCTACAGAAACAGAAGATCCTAACATTTACTTCCCTTTAAACATAAAACCTGAGCCAGGCGTGGTGGTGCACAACTGTAAGCTCAGCACTCTGGAGGCTGAGGCAGGGAGTCAATGCGAGTTCGAGGCCAGCCTGGGCTACATAGTGAGTTCAAGAACAGCCTGAACTGCATAATGAGACCCTGTCTCAAAAAGACCAAAAAAAAAACCCAAAACCCTATGAGGAGCATTAATTTTAAATTTCCAGATTAAAAATTGGTAAGACTGTCCCAACCCACATGGCATAACCGCCTTCAAAGCTTCTCTTGGCTGAAGGTGGGGAGGGTTTTCCCGAAAGCCCACTTGGGGGGTTGCCCACAGCCATGGAAATGATTTCAGTCAGCATCACGGCCCATCACTAGCAGGCTGACTCCCCAGCCAGCCACTTCATCTAATACTGAAATAGTACAGTCTAGAAAAGATCAGTTTTGAACACATATACACAGGCTTGTCATTTACTATATTCTTAAAACGGCCAGCATTCAGTAGAAAACTTTGATTTTAGCCCTAGAAATTAGACTTGGGACATTGGAAACTGGGTCCACCTTTTTCCAAAGGTTAAGAAATCTTTAATACAACAAGAATTGTTAATTTCCTACCACTTTGTTTATAACTATGTATTGTCTATACTGTTCTTTTGCTAGTTTGTAAAAGGCTGTCTATCTGTTAATGTTTTCCTCCTTTTATTTTTAAAATTAAAAAAAAAAAAAGAAATCTTGTGTTTCTTCTAATCCCAGCACTCAGGAGGCTGAGGCAAGATCACTGTGAGGCCACCCTGGGGGACATAGTAAGACCTTGTCTCAAAAAAAAAAAAAAAAAAAAAAAAAAGTAATAGTAATAGAAACCTTGAACTACTATAATGAATTATTTCTTTTAAGAGACAAAATACCAGCCCAGCATGGTAGTGCAAGCCTGTAATCCCCGCACCAGGGAGGCTGAGGCAGGAGGATTGCTGTGGGTTCAAGGTCACCCTAAAATACCGTGAGGCTCTATATCAAAACAAAAATAAAAACAAAACCAGACAAAATATCTATCCGACAACATGGTTGGCATAGCTGGGAATGTGTTATTTTAAAAGCACATACAGATATTAATATATAAAATATAAGAAAATAAAGTTATATCATTATAGGAGCTTGTTCCTCTGAATCACTGCCTCCCTTAAAAGTAATTTAAGTTAAAAAATATAAAGCATACTATGTTAAGCTATACACAGAATCATCGTTTACTAAAACTACTATTCACTATGTACTGGGATACACAGTTGTCTCTTTTAGAGCATGTCAGGGTTTAAACCTACAATGTCCTCGTATGTTCAGAGATGGGGGAGGTGACTGGATCGAGGGGGGCATATTCATACCATATTACACAATATACCTATTGGTGGAGTGGTCCACCAGTAAGTTCAGCAGTTAAACGCATGGGGGTGGAGGCTGACCTGGAAAACAGAGCTCCTTCCTTCCTCTCCTGTCTGCTTCCTGGCAGCCATGATGCAGCTTTTCCTCTGCCTAGGCCCCTTCACCGTGCCCTTTCTCCCTTGCAGCCAGCAGACCACAGGGGAAAACATAAGACAAAATCAACCTCATTTTAGGTTGTGGGTGTCAGGTACTGTATCCCAGCAACAAGAAGTGACTAGGTATGTTATGAACTATTCCTGTTCAACTCTACTACTTAGTTTAAAACTGCACAGGCTACCTGAAATCAGTAGTGGTTTGTTTATTGGAACAAAAAAAAGAAATACTATACATCACACTTACCTTTTTTCTCCTCTCACAGTTGGGATCATCAATGTTATGAAAACTGTTCTCATCTATTTCTCCTAACCAAATATGCTCACCAATCCCAACCAAGCAATTCGGATTTCCTTTGCAGTTTCGCCTAAAAGAAAAAAAAGGAAAAATTATTATTTGGTTTTAAAATACGCAGTAAAGCCGGGCGTGGTGGCGAACGCCTGTAATCCCAGCACTCGGGAGGCTGAGGCAGAGGATCGAGGCTGAGGCTGAGGCAGGAGGAACATTGTAAGTTCGAGACCAGCCTGGGCTACAAAGTGAGCTCAAGGCCAGCCTGAGCTGTATAGCAAGACCCTGTCTCAAAAAGACAAAGAAAGAAAGAAAAGAAAGAAA